ACCCATTCAGAACAAAAGTTCAACAAATTTAAACATTTCGGTGTGTCCATGCAAGCTGTCTCAATTGACCACCCAACCTGGGTTATGGACATATTAAGAGCACTTAAAGCTCAACCTGCAAACATCAAACAACAAGTCTACCAAAGCATCTCATAACCATATAAATTAGAGAGTTATTAAGCCAGATCACTTCAGGATGTAGACCCAATTTTTAAACTTCGTCACTAGAATAATTTAAAATACCCCACGGGATCTTAAATATATTCTCTTAGACAATCAAGCACTTACCTGTGCTTCATCCTAGTATAAGGACCTGCTTGATTCTTCTTTGCTTTCACGTACTCTAATATGAGTATCACCTCCACAAGATCTGTCTAATTTTGTCACTACATCTGTAGTTCCTGACAACATACATAGACACTTGTGAAAAATAATGTAGAGAACATGAGGATCAACTTACCCCATAATGGACAAACTTCTAGAGATTAATTTTTTCAACAATCATCTTCTTGACACACGTCATCCAATCTAATGAACCTTTGCTTCATAATGGATAGTGTACAACAATTTGTTTTGCAGCTCACTCAAAACAGAGCACCACCCTTCATCATGTAAAAATCATACACTGAAGAGGTTCAACTAATCATCGTTGTTCATTAAATCATTGTCTCTTTTAGAATTTACTGGATAGGTACTTGAGAAACTTTCTCACATTAACCTTCATCCCTGTACTATCTGAAACTCAAACAATAATTGAGTAATTCTCTCTTGACAAACAGAATGAACAATATAGTTTACAACAAAACCACTACACGTCAAGAATAGTTTGTTCATCATTTAGATTGCAAAACATTAGCACATTTGAATCAAACATCAAGGCCAAATCATGAAAACAACTCTGGCTTAGACATGATAAATATAATTTACCAAACCACTTTCTCTACATCACAATAATGAGATTAATGCGTACCTTTATTAGTTCATTGGCATACTGCCTAGAACCATTCTGCTTATCACATTATCTTGTACTTGTCTCTTGGCTTAGAGACACATATACATCTTTATCTCAATTAACAACATGCATGTGAAGTTAACAACTTATGATCATTCTAGCAAATGAACTCTATCAATGCGAACCATAGTAACATCACACATGCATCAAGAAGTACAACTCACATGCCAAGAAAAACTTAACATAACAAGTTAGAGTATTCAAATCTAACCCCCACTCACCATACATATCACAAAGGATATAACATCATGAGCAAAAATACCTCATCTTCTAAGTTGTCACCTGTGCATGCGTTTAAAATACACACCCTTGATTTACAATCAATCATGCTAGGAAACTTAAGCAAACTTACTGCAAATCAGACAAGTTTAGAATAAACCAGGTGAGTCATAAGAGTTGGTCAGCACCAAACTTACAGAATAAATCCTAACAACATAGTATCTTACCTTTAGCCCATTTCCAATCAACCACCTTTCAACTCACCTTGAAAGATACTTACAACTGATGTATTTATAATAGCAAGAAAAGATATACTATTCTCAAGCATATAAGACTCAAAGGGAGTGCACAACTCGCGTTAACATGCTTCTTTCCACAACTAGTCAATCAGGTTTATCCATATGGTTCAGGAATTTTCCATTCACCACTACATGAATATATAAACCACACAACAAACATCTACATACAATTTTCGATCAAGAAAGTAAAACCAAGATGATACACAACTAGTTTAAGCTTTAATCCAATACACCTTAGATGATGAACTCATCAACTTTACTAGCAGAATAAAGCTTAGGAAGCAAGAACAAATTCTATGAATGTGCAAAACTAACATGCCATGTCATAGGAAATCATATACTTGAGACATTTCACAGGATTTAGCATATCCAGGTCATGCATGATAAATGTAGCAGATATTCAGTATACGTATCACCCACAGTCCCACAAGCCTTCTTGCTTTACGTGAAACATATATAGAAATCAATTATTCATTATTGGAAACCCCCACATCACAGATACCACATGAGGATAATCATGCATCGGGTAACAAATAAGGGAGTATCAACCAAATTCTTGGGTGAACTGCTTACTTAAACAAATAAACAACTGAAACATATCTGCAACTCCCACAGTACTAATATTCACAGAATATTAAAATATTTTGAAGACATATGGAATGTTAATTCCCATCCTTACCTCATGTGGGGCACCTACACTTCAAACTTGCACGGCCATTCTAGCTTTGTTAAGTCAACTTTTTATTCTGCTAATAAGCACGGAAATCAACCCGATCTCATCTAGACCATCAACAAGAAAAATAATTGCTACACCTCTAGCCAATTAAATACATTTCAAGTTCGTGAACAAAGCTGATTAAGATCACAAGAATTAAAAGAAACAATAATTCTAAATCCCTTTTTAATCTAAAAAAGAGACACTTACAAGCTTATCACATACTCCGTGCTCAACAAAACATTGTCCATGATTAGGAAAAATAACAATAAAACACTATCATAAGATAGAACACATGTCATCCCTAATCTACTAGGACAAAACGACAATGCCCATAATCATACATGATTAAACAAATCATACATTAAATAACCATAGATAAAAGAATAACTCATGGAAATCTTCCTCCTCAACAATACTCACAAACATGAGTAAAACCAACTTACTAGTTAGTCACAATCTAACTCAAATCACCCCCACATTGCTACACAATACATCATAATAATTATATTATGCATACTTGGGGCACATATAATAAACATATTATATAAAGTTAGAATTTAACAACAAAATAAAATGATAAGAAACTTCCCTGATCTTTGGCATGAGCATGATAGCCTTTAATTACATGTTATCATCCAACTGCAACCTGGCACTGAACATCATCAATCTCGCTGTTTCGAGAAAGAAAGACGGAGGCTGGGACGCGCTTTGGTAATCACTACTCCACAGCTGCATCCCAAGTTCTCTTCTCAATGAGCCACCAGTAATGAAAATTAGGAAATATATATCCTTTTACTGATGCAATCTCTCGTCCAAACCTAACACGAGACAGTAATAAAACCGAATCTTGCTACCATGCCGGCATGCCCAATCCATTATATTTGTTAGGATTTGTCTCCGTTGACTCAAATCAACTACTCGTAACCATTATAGTGGGTTTTGTTCCTTGAAAATTAATTCTGACAATTACCCATTAAGATTCCACTTGCTAGGAATTAAATAATGAAGTCACTTGATTATAATTTGATACCAAAGGATTTTGACTTCCTTAATTCCACGTTGAACGATCACCAGATCAAAATCTTTGAGAGCACAAAAACCAAAGCAACTCGATCGCAATCGCAAGAGTTCTTGATTTAAAACACACTTATCTAGGGGTGTACACCGGTCCAAAACCGGACCGGACCTGGACCGGACTTGTTTGGACCGAGGACCTGAATTGGGTAATTATGAGGACCGGGGACCGGACCTGAATTAATAGGTCCGGTTCCGGGCCAGACCTGAAAAATCAGGTCCGGTCCGGGTTTGGACCTGAATGGACCTGTTTTGTGTCTTTTTCGTTTTTTTTTTTTTTATACAAAACCTGTTGGACCTGCATATGGACCTGTTTTGTGATTTTTAGACCTGCTGCATAATTTAATAATTACATACAAACCAAAATTATCAATTACAAAACTACATAAAGTCTATAAAGTCCCGATTCTCAAACACCAAAAATACAAATGAGTCCACCGAAAATACAAATAAGTCCACGAAAACTCAGTTTCAATTTTTCAGAGTTTGGTTTTCTTCTTTTTTTTTTTTTTTTTTTTTTTTTTTTTTTTAATTACGATTTTCCCGGGTTTCAGGTCCGGACCTGAAAACCTCGGGTTTGGACCGGGTCCGGACCGGGACCGGGAACCTGGATTTTTAAGAACCGGGACCGGACCTGAATCAACAGGTCCGGGTCAGGTCCGGTCCGGTTCAGGTCGGTTCAGGTCCGGGCCAATTTTTGTACACCCCTGACTTATCCACTCAATCCTTTGATAGGAATTAAATAAAGTAGCTGCTAGTCTCAAATTAAAGAACTTGAATTCTTTTCAATTCCATGTACGACAAGACTCCTCTCGATCTCGAGTCAGATACTAATTTCCATCCCCGATCAAACGATTTGCATAATTGAATACTCCAGGAATCAACAATATAATAAATTAATACTATTTCGCTTTTAAATTGTTGGTAAAATACCTGTTGATTCCAATAACAAAATAGAGAAGATGAAAGGGAAAATACTTGATTGAAGATCTCAAACTCACAGTCGCGCCGTGGAACAAAATCCACTGCCTTAGAAGCGAAATACGCCACCACCGGTACAAGTTTCCTAGTGACGCACGTCCCCCAAGTTTAACGCAACTCTCTCCGTAATCCGTGCACCCGAACTCGAAGAGTGGAATTGCTCAAGAACTGTTCAGATCTCATAGGGTAGGTTTTTTTTTTTTGTGTTTAGGTTATTTCAATAATGAAATTAACTTGGTTTTTTAATAAAGACCAATGAGTTGTATTTATAGGAGTAATAAGGAAAAGAGACAAGCAGCTTGAGCCTCACACAAGGCCCATATACTCGGTTGGGCTTGCGAGTAGAGAGCTATAACTCACTCGCAGGGAGCTCTCGCTCGGACTGCCGCAAGTGAAAACAGGGGGCGAGCTAGTAGCTCTCCCGTAGGAGAGCTATAGCTCGGGTCTCTAGCTAGCCAAAGAAGAAGCGATCTAGTAGCTCACGCGTAGGAGAGCTATAGCTCGGATCTACTGGACACTACTGATGGCAACGAGCTCTAGCTCGTCCACGCCGTAGGCATTCCCAGCATCCGAGCTCTAGCTCTCTTGCTAGCTCGGCCTTGATCAATCCCCTAGACTCTCATTCTCCATCATTCCCTCTCTAACTCTTCCCTCTCTAACTCTTTGCACACTCACTGGATGAAACTCCGATTTGCATTACTAGTGAGGAAAACTCCAACAGTTAAAAATAAACTTAACGAGCTGAGGGACAAGACAAGAGGTTGCACAAGGAAAAGAAGTAGAGAGTGTACAAATGCAAATTTTTGGCCAACTTTCATTTGGGCCGGCCCAATGTGTCCAAGACCCACTTGTCAAGAAAAAAAAAAAAGTTTCGTAAGTTATTTCCCAGAAAAAAACAGTACAGAGAGAAATTTGATGAATCACTACTTCTCAGTCTCTGACACTCTATCAATTCTTTCGTCAGGAGAGAGAAAGAGAGTGAGGGATTGAATTTTATATCCTGAATTTGTGATGAATTATTGATCATTAATTCCCCAGAAATTAACAACAAGATTTATTTAGAGAGAAATTAATACAGTGATGATGCCAAGAGAGATCTTTGCATTTGCTCAACGTCGATGGCTTTACATTTGCATCGTTGCTGCTTTTCTCCTCGTCTTCACCATTTCCTTCAGTTTCCAGGTTTTTTTCTCTCTCCTTTTGCTGCTATATGTGCTATTTCAGCATTCATTTCCGATTTGTATTGGTTCATATTATCTGCAGTTTTTAGATTTTCAGTTTGTTTTGTATGAATTTGCTACTGACTGCTGATTTCGTGTTTTAATGTAGAATCTGTGTTATTTGTTTCATTGGCGTTTCGTAATGTAAATCTGTTAGGGTTTTTATTTTTAATTTTCGATTGAATGTTTGATTGGTACGATTGAGGAACTGTTTATTGTTGGGCGAAATTGAGGCTACAATTGCAAATATGATTAACATTTGGGCGATCCTAAATTCATGCTCACAAAAATCAAATTAGTGATAGTGATTTAGGATCTTGACTGTAAGTCGTGATCAGATGAGGAGTCTATGAAATGTAATTGTGTTGATGTGGGAGAATTGAGTTTGAAAAATGCGGAACGAAGGGTTTAATTCGTGTGATGGATGGCGGGGCCAAGTAAATGTTTGGCGATTTGAGTCAGTTGAACCTTTTGGAAAAGAAGTCGCTGTTTCTCGGCCTTAATGAAGGCGATGTTACCTTAATATTGGCATATTGCTGTTGATACCTGATAGTGCTGAACATTGTAACCTTTCTCTGATTAACTGTATGATATTTGTGGTCTGAATGACGCAGAATTAGATCTTTGTTATATGCTGTTGTGCTGTGCTAGAAAAAAAGAGAATTAGAGAGGCTTAGTGTCTTCTCGCAATTTGAGTTGCAATAAGTTTATATGGAGTAGTTAAGACGTTTTTTTCCTTCGTTAAATAATGTGTCCAGGAATGTGGGTTATTATCTTAGAGGCTGGATGTACTTTGTTGTTTGCATTGAGAAAGATCATCCTGTCCTTTTAATGTGCAGGGCATAGTTGAGGAGGATCTTGAAATTACTCACAGAGTGTTTTTGGATGTTGACATGGATGATCAACGATTAGGTATGTACTCCGTAATGCATATCTATACTACTACTACTACTACTACTACTACTACTACCACTATCATTGTGAATTTGACCATGGTCATGGCTAGATGATTTAGTTTGTTATTTCCCTTCTTTGTTTTCTTCCTTTACTTCCTTTTTAGGGTTGCTTAGTTTTGGAGAGAGGGAGGGTGCCGGGTGGGGTGGGGTGGGGTGGGGTGTGGAATGTGTACCTAGACCGATATTCGTCAGTTTCATTAAAAATGCTTATTTCTTTTTAGAGAAGCAGATATTTATTTGAGAGGATATTGCTTTGTTTTCTGAGTGAATCTAAGGCTTCGTGAGGGCTTTATGAATTCAAGGCAATTCTGCAATAAAAGTAAAATAAAATAAGGTGGAGATTTGAGAAAAGAAGTCAGAACTTGCTAAGAATATGGTTTGAATTGCTTCTTCTAGAGGGATCATAATGTAGGTTTCTTTGGCTGTAGGTCATGGTTATTGGTTAGTGGGTAGTTGTCAAGTGGTAAGACAGTACTTTCTTTATTTCAAATGTGCGACATAATCCTTAAAATGAAGCAATGAGCTAGGGAATGCACCAGTGTTTGATCATTTAAGGAATTGTTCATAAAATTCGGGGAACTTTTGATGTCTCTGGTGCTTCTTCACTAGGTTTACTTGGCATAAAGTGAAGAGAATTCACTTCTATGCTGGTATGTTATCCCTCTTTGCCGAAGAGTAGTTATTATGTTCAAAAAACAGTGTTTCACTGTTTTGCTACTCAAATAAACTGTACCAAAGATTCTATGGATGATTTAGGGTTTCTGCTTCATTTCTATTTTTTCTCCAGCTTGCTTCTTAAATAGGCCCATTGCTGTCCTTTATCAACTGGCCCTTTAGTTGAGGTTTTTGAGTGAGTTATGAGTTTTTGCAGTAACATATTTGATTTTGGTACATAACATGACCCGGATTGACCACATGTCAAAGCAATCTCTTGCTCCTATCTAGTGCCATTCTTATGCATCCCATGTTCTTCTCCTTTTCAGTAATATCTTAAACTGTGCTTCACTTTCTTTTTACCCTTGCCACACCAACTTTGACGTCTCTTGCTTCGTGTTAGTGTAATTACTTGGTTTAATCTCTGAAAATTTGTTTACAGTGCACTCCTAACAGTTACATGTATTCTTTCCAAGTCAACTGCTATCTCGTGACTCCTGGTGAACTCAAAGCTTTTCTTGTATATCTGATACTGGAAGATGTCTATTTATTTCTAATATTTTAAAATAATAAGTACGTAGGGTTTGTTATTTTGGTCTCTCAAGCTTATTAACTCACAATTTTGACAGGTAGAATCGTGATTGGATTATTTGGTACTGTTGTTCCAAAAACATCTGGTTGGTAATTTCTTCTTCATGGTTTTCTACTCTTTTTTTGTATTGGTTTTCTACACAAGTTCAGGCAGGCAGTTGCTTTTGCTTTAGTGAATATTATGGTCTTATTATGACTCAACTCACTTCTATCACCATATGACTACTCTTACTGCATTCATTTCCAGTTTTCACCATATTGCTTTTTTCATTGAAAATGAATCCTTTCACCACTCTATGCATCAAATCTAACTCTATTTTTTTGGGTTGTTTTATTCCAGAAAATTTCAGAGCTCTTTGCACTGGTACAAATTTTCTCTCTCACCTCTGAGAATTTGAACTGATTTCTCCTTAAAACTATTGGTTTTGAATAATTGTTAATTTGTCCTTTGGGGTCTAATATTCTGCTTCTGATTGCAGGAGAGAAGGGGATGGGCACAAGTGGTAAACCTCTACATTATAAGAAAACACCATTCCATCGTATAATTCCTGGGTTTATGATTCAAGGTGGTGATATTGTTCATGGTGATGGGAAGGGTGGAGAATCAATTTATGGCAGTACCTTCCCTGATGAGAATTTCAAACTTAAACATTGGCATGCAGGTACTTGATCTAATTGATTCATTGTAGTTGTATTATTAAATTACTTTGCACTCTTATTTTCAAACTTTTGTCCTGATACTTGTTACCAACTGATCTTTTCCTCTGTTTTTACCTTTTTTTTAATAGGTATTGTGTCTATGGTGAATTCTGGACCTAATTCCAATGGCTCACAATTCTTTATTACCACAGTGAAGGCAAGCTGGTATGTCACATCTACTCCCCTACTTGCTGAAAAATATACCCCCGGCCCCAACAAAAAACATAAGCTATGATTACTGAAAAGGAGTATCAAATTTTTCAGATCATATTATCTAGTAAAATCGAGGACACATAACCATACTATCATTAAATTTAAACTGAGATGATTTTATAGAGTTTTAAATGATTTTTGCTTGTATCATCTTGTTTATATTAGGAATGTGTGAGTTGTTTGTAGTTGCTTTTTTTCTATTTCTGTCTGTTTTTTGTGTAATTGCAACAAGGTAGCAAACTATCTTGCTAGAGGGCTGTGAAGGAAATAAGGAAATTCGTTTTAGAGATCTATCATTTTAGGTAATAGACTTAGGAGGAGGATCTTCTAATTTATTCCCCTTGCTAAAAAAATATACTACCTCCGTTACATATTAGTTGCAACTTTGGAATATTTTATGTCTCACAAATAATACCCCAAAGTTGCAACTAATATGTAACGGAGGTAGTATACAAATTTGTGGCAAGTGAACTTCTTAATCAACAGTCTGCTAGAACAAAATTTGTAAAAGGACTTCCCTCTTTCCAATTTACGTTCTGGGGGAATATGGAGATTTTGCTCCTTTTTTAAGGAAAGCTGGTTCAAATAGGGAACTTGGAAATGAAACACCAAAAGCCTTTGTTATCTCTTTCAAATTTCTTTAAGATTTTGCATGAAGAGTCTTGGGATACAGAGCTATATTGTGATTCTGAATAGAATCTTCCATACTTTCTGAAATATTTTGTTATTTATGCCTATTTCAAAATGCTCAGGTTGGATGGCGAGCATGTTGTCTTTGGGAAGGTTTTACAAGGCATGGATACTGTATATGCCATTGAAGGAGGAGCTGGAACTTATAGTGGAAAACCTAGGAAGAAGGTGGTCATAGCTGACTCCGGAGAGATACCCAAGAGCAAATGGGATGAGGAAATGTCTAAACTTTAATTAAGAATTTGCTTATTTCCTTAGTGTAGAAGGTTCAGTTATTAGTTGGCTAGGCATAAGATTTTATGTTGTATGTTGTTCATACATGTCATGACGAGGAAAGGAAGCTGAAATCTAGGTTGGCTTTACATGTCTGCTTCTGATCCCGGAAGAGTTTCTTGATCATTAGGCAAATTCTAGTTCTATTTATGTTGTTAGCTTGTAGAACCCTGTAATATAGGCTTGTAAATGATACATGTTGAATTCATTTATCGAAATTGGCATAAATGAGTGGATGAGTCATGATATAAAAATCTTACTAAGTCAACACTCGTGCCTCTATATTTTGCTGTCTACCATGTAAGTTTTAAATTGATTGAAGGTTACCTATATATTTTTGTAGCTACAATTACTTTCTATTTGGTTTTATGACTTTTATAACAGGATGATGTCTGGAAACAGCATCGTTATCAAACAAGTAGTAGTCTTATCTATCCATCTCCACAATCGATAGCTTGAGCATCTACGATTGTGACTGTGGAAAATACACAGCTTACAATGGGAGTATGATGTAAAATTAAACCACAATTGACTATGGATGTAAACAGCAGAACACAAAATGCTTGCTCATACAAAAGCAATTGTTAAAACTTACATGGTAAGTGTGTTCAGGGGAACTTACATCAAGATTAAGTTAATACATACACAAATGATTTATAAATTGAATCGCGGTACACAGCAGAATCAATAGTTAAACTTGGCTTGATACAAAATAAAGCAATAAATAAATTTCAAGGACGGTACTTGCAAGCTAATTTTGCTGCATTATCACCAGCAAATCCGGCGTCTACCCAGGCTGAGTATCCCCCTTCGATATTGGCAACATGCTCAAATCCCTATTACACATAATCATCATTTAAGTAAATTAGTATTTTCTGATTAACAAACTAATAGACTACTACTTATTAATTACTTGTGCAAACTTTTTATGCCCAGAATAATTTACGTACTTCATGCTGCAGATCAATTGTTGCTTTCTTGCCTCTACCACCACTGTTGCAAGCCTGAGCCAAAACCGTGATCATCATTAACACACTATTTTATAACTTAAACAATAATTCAAGAAAAAACTTTAATTTTGATCTAAAATACGAAGCTGTAAAACTATGGCATATTCTAAATCACTGAGATAAAATTAATGTATGGTCCAAAATTGACTTGAGTACTTTTTGTCACAAAATTCCCAATGTTATGGAGTATACTTAACGTATCTTTCAGTCTATTATAGGCCTAGTTGCAAATAGAATGTCTTACCGCAACCAAGTGATCATCCTTGTTGCAAACTTCTAGAACTTGTGAAATGAAATTAGGATTCTTCACTCGCCCTATCGTACAAAATACATCACGATGCACACATCAGTTGTACAGTTTCAAATATTCATTCTATTCGTAATTTGTCGTGCCTACATTAGTACATTACCATTTTGAGCAAGTTGTGTTCACGTTTTAATTTCAGGTTTATATATGTACATACCTTCTTCAGTTATGAACATGTAAGGGATGTTAAGAGCACCTTCAACATGTCCTTTTTCAAATTCCTCCTTTGTCCTACAGATCATGATGCAAGCCTTTTGTTATCCTAAAACCGCGAAAATTCAAGATTAAAACTCCTAATTTGTTACCATACCTTACATCTAGATACCGATATCCGGTACTAAGGAGACCTTTGGCTGTGTAAACATCAACACTCTTAGCTTCTTCTGAAGGCCTGCAATATGCAAAATGAATTGAAGTCTCAACCTAAGGGTGCAAACAATACCAAAATAAAAACAAATAAATTAGAACAAAATAAACCTCACCCTTTGGAAGTATCCATTGATCAAGAGGTATTCTAACTTAAATTTCTTAACAATTGTTTGATTTTGAGTAAATTGAGGTTCCTAAGTAGCTTTTTATATATACATACATAGAGTTTAGAGAGAGAAGAATAATGAAATTATATTATATGTTAAATATAGAATAATAAATTAGATTAAAAAAGATTTAGACAGTGATATAACATGCATCCGAGTTTATTTGCTCCAAATTTAGCTTTAGCAAAAGAAACTTCAAGGAACATGTCAGAAGAAAAATTTAACGAAGAAACTTTAAAGAAACGTACCTAAATTAAAACTATAGTGCTTAATTACTTTAGTTCTAGAGCCTGTTCATAGTCAACATGATAATTTTATTGGACATCAAAATTACAAACTAATATCTATTAGCTATTATTTTGCCGACTAATATTGAATAAACTAGAAGTATGTTTATATCACTGTCTAATGCTATTGACTGATTTTAAGCATGAAACGTTTTTTAATCACATGGGTATTGGCTAATTACTCGATAATACATGAAGTTTCGAAACTCAATTAATAAGAAGCTAGGTATCCCTTAATACATACCAAGGTACGGAGGGAATGGCCAAAACCAATATCAAAATTGACATATTGTTTACGATAACAGAGATGATACGAATTGTTGCATGTCCTACATTTGGCAAGTGTGTAATGAATTGAATAATTGTTGTGATCATTTATTATATGCACAATTTTTGCACAATTTATATGTTTAGTTTGATCAATCTTATGAAATATAAAATAAAATAAAAGGGTACATAATTTTCAATTCATTTTTTCAAAATATTTTTTTTATATATAACTTTAATTAATAAATTATCTAAATATATAGTACTTCCTATATTGATTGTCCACAAATATAAAACTCAAATTTTTACAAGTAAATTGAACCAATGAGGCATGCATTACCCAACTTGACCAAAAACATGTTGAATGCTTGAATACCTTGTTTTTACAACTTACTCAAAATAGAGCCTCTCCTCACATGAAAAACCCTTCGGGCTTCAAATGTAACAATTAATTCCATTTCGAAGGAGGGGCGGATGAGATTCGAACCAGTAACCTTTGTACTGTGTCACGCTGGCCCCAATACCATATTAGAAGACCAACTCAACCAAAAGCTTAAGCTGATGGTTGAGGCTCAGGAATATGTTTTATACTTTAATAAGCTAATGGTTGAGGCCAAAAATATATTTAATACTCTATCAATAAGTTCCCTAGCTTGGCTTCTTGTCGAGTATTTTTGATTGAAATTAGCAATTTGTGTACTTTTCTAATAAGTTTGGTAAATTGGAGAGCTATGCAAACCCCTTGTTTTGATTGTCGTTTTAAATTAGAGGATGACAAGAGGAATTAGAATATATAAAGTGACCTTAATCCTTCTTTTTTGCCTTAATTAAAAGTTACCTTATTCTTTTAATTAATATATATCCCTCTTTAATACAAGTGCTCTTTTATCATGATCATACTTTCTATGATCTCCATGCAATATAGGAAAATATTACAAGATACTAACTTGAGTGTTACAAATAGAATGCATGCCGACCTTATGGAGAAAAGAATTATTATACAAATCGAAGTATATTTTAACTGAATTGTGAGTTTAACTTCAACCATGAAAACATTAACTTGTGGTACATTCACCTTATCTTAAAATTTTATAGTCAAAAGAAAATTCTCATATTAGCACCATTCTTGGTTTCCTTGATCTCCACCTTGCATGTGGATATATTTGTTATAAACACGTGATTCAAGTCGTTTTGTTGCTTCTTGCTATCTAGGCCAGGTTAACCTAACTTTTGATGAGTTTATTTATGGCACTCCCTAAAACAAATTAAGCATTCCTAGAAGGATTTTTTGCAAATACTAGGATCACGTACACTATTCCTTAAGTTTAGTTGGAAGTATAAGGTTGGACTTGATGACATTTTATGAAATCCCCAATATCTATTACAAAATCTGAAAGGATATTACACCATATAGTTATACTTCGTAATACAAAATTATATCTTATGATTATTGAAAATTTATGAATGGTTGTAAAAATAATACAAAAGGCGTACTACAAAAATATGAATACTCAATATAAAAAATTGGTGGTGTAGCGAGACTGAGAGTGAATCTTACATTGGCCTGGTGTCATTTTAGATAGATATCGGTAAAATTGAATCTTAAAAAGTGAAATTTGAAGTTACCTACGAAATCTAGTTGGCATAGAAGGATGAACCAAGTAGATATTTCACCTCAAACCAATTGGTTGTTGGTGTAGTGGTGATTGGGACTACACTTGGTAGGGAGAACTCGTGTTCGATCCCCCGCAACAACAATCGGGAGGGGACTGCAACCTAACCACCCAGAACTGATCCCCGAATCCGGATTAGCCCAAAGGGTGAACCGGGTGGAACACCAAAAAAAAAAAAAAAAAAAAAGATATTTCACCTCAAAATTAAAAAAAGGTTTGAAGATATTTGCCATGCCAAATTTCCAAAAAAAAAATAAAAAGAAAAGAAAAATGACTAAAAATTTGAGGCCTAAAATTGCTCCACTTGTCATTTTCCTACTCAACTAGTAATGTGAGGCCTAAAATTTGAGAACAAAATCCAAAATCTTTGTTCTCCTTCACGTCTTACTATTACGAAGTCTTATGTACGAGTAACAATTTTGTCGTTTTTTATTAGTGACAATTATACTAGTACAATAAAATAACTTCGAAGTTATTGAAATTATATAACTTTTAACTCAGACTTTGTTCTTACAAATTCTCAAATTAATCTTGAAGGTGAAAAAATTTGAAAAAACAAAGCAAATTACAAATTGAAAGGTTGATTAATCTTGATAGAAATGAAAAAAAAAAATGAAGAATAAATGGATAGCATGATATTTTATGGTTTAAGAACACACTTTAAAGGATTAGATGCTATTATATTATTGCTACCATTTATTCTTTATACATATATTCCTTTATCCTTTCTTTTATCTTGGAAATTCTGTGAAAAAGTATAGGAAAAATACGCACTGAAACGACAAACAAGATCGAACTATTAACCTTAAAGAATAAAGAACCTTTAATGATTAGAGATATCGTTTGCCAACTTAAAGTTTTTTATTTTAATCCGATCTCGTACGCTATCTCCTTTAGCACCTACTAATAAAAAAAACCCTAACAAATTAGAACAAAAAATGTTTGTAGTTTATGATATAAAGGTATAAAATTAAAAGTCATATTTGATGATGAAGACAATTTTAGTGAAAGGTAAAGATTTTATTTTAATGTTTATTTTGGAGATGATAAATCATTCGAAAAAATCTTAAAATTATATTAAATTAGTTAATTAACATTTATGTGTATAGATAATGGTATAAAGTGCATAACACATTTAAAACTTGACCATCTATTCCACATAGATGAAAATTTGGTCATATGCTAATGCAAATAAGTAAAAGGTTATGTGACGTATATTTTTCTTTAAAATTCCATGTTAAGGATTCAATGTGACTGAGATATTACATGATTTTTTCTGTTTAATCTAAATTCCTAAAATCTTATAATTATTTGTACGGAGTATATGTGATAGTAAAACTAGTTTTGTTCCCGTGCAATACACGAATTTATATAGTATAATTTATTAATAATAATAGTCAATCGATATAGAGATAATCAGATAATTAACTTAAATAACTTATGTAACATTTTTTTAATTTTTTTTTAATTTATTAATGTCTATCCTTTAAATTCTTATGTGTTATATATATATATATATATATTTATATATATATATATAAATAAAATTTATTAAAAAAAATTAATTTTTTTTAATAGATTTTTTTTTTAATTTTTTTTTTGTAAAAAAAACATTTTGGAGGGATTTTTTTTCTTAAAATTATGCCAAGTGTCCCATTCGGTGATTACTATAGTATATATTTCATAGTATAGATAGATGATAATTATGACAGAAATCTGGTTTTGAACCCAAATTAAGCTAGTTTAGACCAACTCGCTGGTCTTTTCAATTAAACCGCAAATAAAATATAAGGAATTGATTAGAAGTTATTCAATAGATTGATGGAATCAATTGACATTGGTTTTGTTTCAATTTCCCTAAGGTTTGACCTAAATCTGACCGATTATTAGATATGTATAGTTTTAAGTTTTGAGTTTCAAGAATTGAATTTTAATCCATTCTACAATCATTGTTATTGCCATACTAATAGCTACAAAGTTTTACGAGTAAACGTTGCATGACTTATACCTATATTGAGTCATTGACCCAAGCTTTAAAGTACCTAAGTCATTAAAATTTAATTATTTTAATGTTCAAATTGATACTTCCTCCGTTTCTTTTTACTTGCAACACAACCTTGTGGCACGTGTTTTGAGGTCGGGTTTATGTAATATAAACGGATAAATTATTCATTATAATTTTTACAAACGATACTTAACCCTATTCTAATCTTCGTGTAAATAATATATTGATAAAATTGCTCGTTTGCCCTCACTAATCATCTCCTAAAACTGCGTGCCTAAAAGGTGTGTTGCAAGTAAAAGAAAACGGAGGAAGTATATCCGATATCCACGTTCGAAGATTAAATAGAATCTAACCATTTTGGGGCTTGATTCATTTCAACTTAGGGCAATGGATTGCACAACACAATTTCAATTTGATGAAGGACTTAATAATATATATATATACAATTTTGCTCACCCCAACTGAAAATTGTACAAAGTAACTTGCACTCGTACTCTAAATCAGGATGCTCGCATGCTCATCTTAATTGGTGTCATATGATGATATGAACATGTTTAGAATAATGAAATTTAATTCATAAATAATTAACATAAAGCTCATACAATTCAAATACTGTACATGAACACATAATCTAATTCAGAGTTTGCGAATATAGTCTTTTATTAAAATCTACAATTTACAAAAAAAAAAAAACATAAAGCTTGGACTTTTATGTACGCAAATTTTTTTTATTTTATTTTATTATTATTATTATTATTATTATTATTATTATTTTAATAATAGGTAAGGAGAAGGACTCTAACCATACTTTAACTCTTTAAGTTTTTTTTATCCGATATTTACGGGTCAGACACTTTAAGAGAGTTGTCGGGGGGGAGGGTAAAGGATCCCCATCCTCAAAGTGTTTCTAGTGGAATTGAACTCCCAATTTCAAAGTTGAAAGGTACAATCTTTCCCACTAAACCAAGCTAGCTTGGTGAAGTATAAATTAAAGTATGTTAACTCAAAGAGTAAGTTACCTCGTCTCAAATATACTAATAATTTCCCAAACCATTGGCCATGTTCCATTGATAGATTCGTGCCTAATAAGAGGCATTACCTTTTTTATTATTCAATGTACTTCGTATATAATATCATACTTTTGACCTAAATGTTTAGTGAAATATGAAAGAAAATTACGTATAAAATTAGGTGAAAATTCTTGTTGTATCTCCCAAATTAGTATAAATGAGTAAATGACATGGATAAGACATCGCACACATAAATATGTTTAATTTAATTTGTTCCACTAGTTGTATAGAACCAGAAATTCACCAATAGTTGCAATTATTCTGATAGATTAGGGAAAAGGAATAAAGTTTGTCACTAATTCTTTTTGATTGGTTCTAGTGCTAGATCTTTGTACCATCAACTTTTTTTTCTTTTACCTTTTCCTTTTAATTTCTTGGTGTTCATGCTGATGAAATTTATGCTTAATTTGTGTTTTAGATACGTCTTGAGGCATCATATGATGAAGATAATTAATTTGGAAATGTACTATACTTACACATACATTGTTTGGACATGTAAAATTGACCTCTTCTTATGATGGATTTGCCTAGAAGGTGTTGCTTAATTGATCCCATTGCTTGAATGCTAGCATAAGTGAAATAAAAGATTCCGCTACTTACATTTTAAGTGCACGTTAATCTACCTATGTTTTCTTTAATTAAAAAGAAGTCCAGGTAAAATAATATTATGTTTTAGATGAGTCAATACAAATTTTGTTGAAATACTTGCGAAAATTACCTATAATTTTCATTAGTCAAAGTAACTTGTATTTTGTAGTGAACATGTAAAAGATTCTAGAGGAGAAATAAACAATAGTAATTTGTACAAATTGATGTAAATTAAATGGTCCCCCTAGCTCAGGGAAGACCATTAGAGTAAAGCATATGCAAGAAAAATAAAGAAACATAAAATATAACTAGTTTCTCCAAAACGCCAAAATTAATTAGTTTATCTGATTCAAGGACATCAACCAAAGTTGACAACGATCCACCAACTTGGGCTGAGAAATACAATCCTTAAACTTGGTTTACACATAAATCAACAATTTGCTACACACTTAACTCTCAAAGCAATTATCACTACTTTTCAACATAATAACACGAAGTTCTAACGGCCATTATAGATTGGCCTACAAATCCACTTTAGGAAATCCACACACATCATTAACCTCCCATAGCATGACACGACATCTAGTATACTAGAAAAGTTAGTTGAGGGATTTTGTTCGACTTAATTTCCTAGTAAATTCACAAAACCATCATTTACTTTTCTAAACAATCATGCCCAGAAACTAGAATGAACTAAACAAACATGCGCTGTGCCCGCCTAATCAACAAGCCTCACAAACATACACCTGCTTCGCTTCAAGATCCGCCCACTGGAACAAGCTGCCCGTGCCCGCCTAAGCTAAGCCCACTCGGTCGGGGCACCAGCTTCGCTCTTAGCTTGCTCCAACAAAGGATATAACAAAGCTAATACGTAATACTCATCAGGTGTAGACTTTTTTTTTTGGGCTATGAATCTATGTTGTACTCATTTATGCAATTTTTTTTTTGGAAAACATGTACTCATCTATGCTAGTCATTAACTATTATTGTTCGAGCAGAATGATTTTAATTTCAACTTTATAGTACACATGTTTTTACCCGCCATTAATTAATTGATAAGTTAGAATGAAAGTAAGTTTGCTAGGAGTTCTAAATTAATGCCCAACATTGTTGTCAATTTTTCAAACTCATGATTAGATTTAACAAATCACTTTCCATTACCCAAATTGAAATATGAGAATTCTCAAAATTTAGAAACTCTCTTTTACTTCCTCGAATATCTCAAAATTAAAATCTCTCTCAAGTTAGAGGTTATTTAGCCACGGCTTGTAAGCCACACATAATACATCCTTTATATGCAATCATCTTATCGTTGACATAGTGCAACGTGATGCATTAATCAACTACGGAGTACTTTACATCCTCAGATTAGATAGATTAAGTCGGTATTTGGGAATCGATGTTGGTTATTGGTTGTTTTACTTGGGTTTGACCAACTTTTTGTTTTGGCATAAGTTGTTTGACTAAATTTTTTAGTTTTTGTTGTTATTTTTATTGTTACTGTTACAATTACTGTGATTGTTCATGTAAAAAAAAACACATTTTTTAACTTATCAAATAAGTCCTCTTATGCCAGTTGTCAAACACTATAAATGTTGTACGGGTGTAAAAATCATATAAAATGACACATCTGCCCATATTCGAATAAACAATTTAAGTTGAAAAAGCAGTAAGATTTGGCATAAGGATTTATCTTTAAAAACTTTATAATTTGACTATAAGGATAAGATTGCATTAATCATTGTGAAACAACATTTATCTAGAATAAATAGATAAAAATAAAATTTAATTTTGATTAGAGGGGGATATGTTATTTTAGTACCACCAATAATGGTATTTTAGTTTTCTCTTATGATTGACAACCAAATACGACACAACTGTTCTATGGGAAATCTTTTAAGTAAAAGATAAAAGTTCGAGAAGATCATAGTTACATTAACATTTTTAATTGAGGAGATAAAAAGCAAACCATAGTAAAGTACTAAAGTTAAGCTTTTGTATTAGAACCTATGTAAGTTTACTTAGGTTTCTGAACCGACTTAAATTCTTCTAAGAAGAATCTAACACAATACAGCTGGTCCATCACTTTACAATTTATGGAAAATAAGTGGACCTTAGTATTTTGATAGACAGTAAGTTATGCTGAAAACTAACAAGACAAAGTCTACTAATTGATGATGGAACATCCCAACATGAAAGCAAGGTAAGATAAAAAAAACAGTATATAAGTGTTCACTTGGATGACTTATTTTGTGCAATTTCACATTTTCTCTACATACATACTTAGCTAGATATCTAGCTTATTATATAAATTAAAGTGAGGATATATAGAAATAATCCAAGTACATAAATAATAATGCCTAGAACAGCTTCAACAAGTGCACCAAGAGATCCATTAGAAATAGGTCGCGTTATTGGAGATGTCTTGGATCCTTTTAATAGGTCCGTAAATCTCCGAGTCAGCTATAACAATCGTATTGTTACTACTGGAGGTGAGTTTAGGCCCTCTCAAGTTGATAGTCAGCCTAGGGTCGAGGTTGGAGGTGATGACCTTAGGACTTTCTACACCTTGGTAAGTCGATGTGACCCTTTAATATGTATAAACATCCGGTGCATTAAATTAAATTAATTTTCGTTCTTTCTTTGATCAATCTTCATTTTTGAATTTGGTCATTTCTATATATAGGTAATGGTGGATCCTGATGCTCCTAGCCCAAGCAACCCACATCTTAGGGAGTACTTGCACTGGTAAGTAGTTAGACCGACCTATATATGCCAACTTTAACATATTCTATTTCATATTTTACTATCATTTTCTTTCATTTTGTACAATAATTCTTTGTTTTAGAATACAAAACTAGTTTTATTTATTGTGATGTGAGGTAATTAAACTTGTGAAATCTCTTTGATTAAGCTCTTATAAGTTAAAACTCTAGTCATGCATGCTCACTCATGACATAATTAAGGGGAAATATATGTTGCAAATTACAACCATGCATAGGAGCATATAATTCGAGTCTACTGCGTTGTGACAATGAATATGGTAATAGTCATGTCAAGTCCCAAGGTGGATGGAGCCAATTGATCACGAGTTCGAGCCTTCATGGAGGTGTTGTGGGACGAGCATGGGATATATATGCACACCATCCACTAAATCCCACATGCACCTAGTCCAATTATAAATGATAATGGTAATCATCATACATAATTTTAGGATAATCTTAGTATAGTTTTAAAATAGACGAGTATATGAGCTTAATTAGATCATTTTCCTTCAAATTAATGATATGATTTCAAAATGAACTACATTATGGATTCATGTTTTATATATATGGTCTCAAAATTCAGTTTAAAAGTCAATTCATTGGAGCAAAATCTTACAAATTGAATTGCAGGTCACTAATAATTAGTAGAAAATGGTTGCTAACTGGTTGAATTTTGTTTCTATATAAGGTTGGTGACTGATATTCCTGGGACCACTGGTGCAACCTTTGGTGAGTTTCAATTCCGATCCAATCCTTAATCATCAACAATTAGTTCAGATGCATAGCATAGTATTGCATGCACATTTACTAATGTGAATTATTTCTTATACTATCTTTCATTACAAACATTATATACATATGGTGCACCTAAGAGTACCATCGTATGTATGTGTGCCATGACCCTGGTGCTAGTGCATGAAATAATCTACGACTTTTTTGCATCCTATCTAGTAAACCCACACATGTATGTAGGCCAAGATGCTTATTATTATCTTATTATACATACGCCACCGTATAGTATGCATTGATTTAATATCATCAAACTACTTAAGGCTTGAAGGCCATATAGGTTGAGATATTAAGAAATAGAAGGAGAATACAGTGTTAGCTGTACTGTTTATGCCCTTCTAATTGTCTACTACTACATGTTTATTAAGTCAATATATAAGACCATAACCATATATGAAAGATTATCTTATTACAAGTTGTTGTGTTTTTGCCTTATTAGGATATTTCTTCTGATTGTGTAACAATAAGGGAGTTTGTATACATTGTTATTTTTGCACAAGATCAATGATACAGGTTGACTATTAGAACAAAAGGTAGGAGTAGTTCCAATCCCTCTCTTTTGTTTATTTTGTACCAATAATAAGTTGATCATATGGGGGTATTCATAAATGTTCCTAGCTATTATTGATCACTCGTGCACTCCTCTACTCCTCTTGTCATATTATAGAGTAGGGGTATATGATTATAAATCTCGAATTGCGTACGATTAATAGTACCAAGCGACAAAAAGAGAGAATTAATTTGAAAAAAAAAATAAGATCTACACCAAAAACTTGTTGTAGCAGTTTTACCGAGGACCTATTGAAATGAACCCTGTACTCTGAATATGAGGAAATTTTTTTTTGGTATACTAGTAGGTGGTGATCTGACCTTCATGCTAGACAAAAGTGTGTACTTGTCTACACAAGTGATTGATAAGTCTTGGTACTCATATAAATATATGTAACCAACAAGATGTGTGGTGCATGTGGTCGGCTAGCTAGGCCACTAGGGTTCATCACATAATTCCACAAGTGCATTCATCATAGACTCTCAATTATTTACGTCCTTTCTTTCTCTCGGTCTCACCCAACAAGATACGGCTCGGGCGGCAAGCAAGTGAATGTGATCTTGCCCTCTATCAGCCGGTGCGGGGAAAACATGAAAGCGGTCACTATACTAGAGGAGGGCATCCCCCGTGGGGTTGGGGGGTCGCGTTCCTTCTTAATGTAGCTAATGTGGTTAATGTTGCTATCCGCCCAGAAGACATCATGGTAGAATAATCCTCCCCTGGCGAGTTGGACGGGGAAGGCAGAGGAAGCGGCTCCCCGGTGCCTTCCGTCGGCTCTAGCGCTTATTCAATTAGCTGCCCTGCTCTTCTTTCTTTATTTCCTCACTGAGCTCTCTCCCCTCTGCCCCCCACGGGGGGAGCACAGACACAGCGGAGGAGCGAAGCTACGACTTGTGAGTGAGAAACTTGTTTCGAACGACGGCTGCGTGAGCGCTCCTCATAGAACAAGAAGAACAACGAGGGGGGGTACTCCCCCCAGTGGAAAGACTGCGGATAGGGCTCAAATACCAGAATCAAGACATACTTGAATCACCAACCAAATCTAGAGGCTTGACGGAGTGAAGCTTTATACTCACTAAGTTTATTTCTACCATTCTTTGTTTAGGTCAAGAGGTGGTTTGTTATGAGAGCCCACGGCCATCCCAGGGAATACATCGATTCGTGTTTGTGTTGTTTCAACAGCTAGGAAGGCAAACTGTTTATGCTCCCGGGTGGCGCCCGAATTTCATCACTAGAGACTTTGCTGAGCTCTACAACCTTGGCTTACCAGTTGCTGCTGTCTATTTCAACTGTCAAAGGGAAGGAGGTTGTGGTGGAAGAAGGTTGTAAAACCACATTATATTGACCTCTCTAATGCTTCTCCTGCAACTTACTCGTTTATTTTGCACTGATGAAGACATTTGAAGATTTTTAGCACACCTTTAATTTTAATGATCATCTAATCTACACTTATATATATATAAATAATACAATGGTCGGTCTATATTGTCATGTACCTCCGATTTAATCACATTTTTGCCTAATTTTAATTTTGTGAATTGTAGTAAATCACAATTACAAAACAGGCAAAATTATTCTATGGAAAAGTGTAATCGTTACAGTCTTACAAAGTAATATTAATCGTATGCAATAGTTATTATCTATATATCTTGTTCTATCTTTTTTTTTTAAAAAATGATACAACACTCTTTCATGAGCTTAAACAAAAGTAGTGATTCTATTTTATATATTAGTACTTTTATTTGTTTCATACTACTTTCATTTGTTTACTTCTAGGTGTGTTCAGAGGGGACCTTCTAACGGGGTCATTTGGGGCTTGACTCCTGGTAAATTAATTAGTTTATGAACTTAAAGAACTAATTTCACTTTTAAAATATAAGGACATGATGATTAGTTTAAAAAAGAGGTCAAAGAGATTCAAATCTCGGCCCCTCTAATATTTTTGCCCAAGATCCGCCAATGGGTATGTTTGACAATAATACATACTAATATACTACTCCCTCCGTTTCACTTTGTTAGTCCCATATAGAATCAATCACAAAAAATAAGAGAATGAATAATATTTGGAATCTTACATTTTAGTACAAAAATTGCTTAATTAGTTCTATCTCATTAAATGTTCTGATTTTTTTTCTTTGGAAAGCATAAATTACAATGCTTGTTTAACGTGAGGAATATCAATCAAATGTCATGTCATCAATCCACTAATGGGTTTGATGGCCAATCAAAATATTTAACTAGCCTTTTGGCCCGTGCAATGCACGGCTTGTTCATAGAAAATTACATTGAGAGATGAGTGAGAAAATACCAATGAATAGTTATGAGTGTAGTATGTAACTGAAAACATAATTAAAGAATAAAAAAATTTGGGACTTTAATTTGAAATGAGACTTAATTGAAAGAAGATGGAGGGACTAAAATTAAAGAGAAAAAATAAAAAGGTTGAATTAAAGAAGGGAGATGAAGATGAAGTGTTTGATGAAAGAGTTTAGAAAAATTGTATAATTAAAATAAAAAAGGTAAAATGACATGTGGCACGTTGGATTGAAAAAGAAGTTAGGGAAGCGTAATAGAATGATGACATATGTCTCTTTTGGTTTGCTTTTTTAAATACTAAGTATAGATTACATACTGTCATGTCATCAATCTACTAATGGGATTAGAAATTATAAGACCAAATTAGAAAAATAAATAAAATAAAAAAAGGAATAAATTCAATATGGGTAGATAATTTTAAAACGCCCAAAATGTTATATGAGACTAACATTATAAAATAGAGGGAGTATTATATATTATGGACTGGTATTTGTAAACGCTATCACAAATACGAGTATCATTCAATTTAGTTCACGTAGTATTTCCTTAGCAATTAATTGTACATGATCGAATACTTAATTGCATGTTAACATTTAAACTTTGACCGATCAATAACTTTTTAAAGCTAAGAATTTAACACTTATAACTAAATACTAGGAAGAAAAAGATGTTGGTAATTTAAGGTAATTAAAATACTTGACATAATAAGAACAAAGTTGTAAAGTGATATGCTAATCGAACATAAAATTTCACTGCACTCATTTACTGGTTTGAGTCATCACCTCAATAATGGTAAGTTACTACTTCCCCAATCATATGATTTTCCTTAATAGATTTATTCTAGGAAAATTTGTCAGGAAAAACCTTTTAAAGTGACCTTTTTATCAGAAAAAACCTTTTAAAATTTTTTTGGCCGAAGAAAACCTTTTAAAAAAAAATTTTGTTCAAGAAAGCCAAAATCCACTTTCCGACGTTGACCACGTGTTTTACAACATGTGCCATGCACATGACTCCTATTTTCCTAATTACACCCCACTTTGCCTAATTTAACACCCCTTTCCCTCCAATTAAACACTCTCTCTCCTACTCTCTCTCTCTCTCCTACTCTCTGTGAATACATCGAGGCCATTAACCCAGGATTATTATGGGTTCATGAAGTCCTCTTTGCAACAGGAAAACCACAACCACTCCTCGTAACACCTCCTCGACCCATAGTCGCTGAATAATTGAGAAAAATTAAAAAGGGGAAAAAACCCTAATTCTCAATCAAGATTCGAAAAAGTCACAGTTACACAAATTAATCACTTACCTGTTGTCGAAAATTAGTGACAAAGCCTTCTACTGCTTCGATTTTGCTGCACTCCAACAATGGCGTGAGAATTTGAGAACACAGAGGAAAGAAGGAGATGAAATAGAATACAGAGAGTAGGAGAGAGAGAGAGAGTAGGAGAGAGAGTGTTTAATTGGAGGGAAAAGGGTGTTAAATTAGGCAAAGTGGGGTGTAATTAGGAAAATAGGGGTCATGTGCATGGCACATGTTGTAAAACATGTGGTTAACGCCGAAGAATGGTGAGTCAACGTCGGAAAGCGGGTTTTGGCTTTCTTGGACGAATTTTTTTTTTTTAAAAGGTTTTCTTTGGCCAAAAAATTTTTAAAAGGTTTTTTCTGACAAAAAGGTCACTTTAAAAGGTTTTTTCTGACAAATTTTCCTTTATTCCATGTACTCAATACATAACTCCTAGAGAGTGAGAAATAGCTCAAGTGGTTAGAGCTCCCTTCCCGATTTCAAGAGATCTTGGGATCGATTCTCATCACCCGCCCTTGTGGCTCTCTAAGTACCAAAAAAAAAAAAAAAAAATACATAACTCCTATCCTTTTGTCCTCTCAAATATTTATGTAGGGGCCGGATTTCCTGAATTTTATTGGTGATAGACCCCAATAATTTTTCTTAGTATTTTTAGTGTTGATGTATTATTGTTTTTTAGGTTTCAATAAGTCATCTCCTTTTGTAAGAGTCTTTTTTGCACAACTTACATGGATTTAGTGGAAGATTTGGAAATATACTTCCCCCCCCCCCCTATCCTATTGCTTAACCAACTGTATTATTGGTCTCCAATGAGAAATATGATTTGACATCGTTGATAAATTTGAGTCAAGATTGTGCCTCGATATGATATGGAAGGTAAGCATAAACAAATTAAAGCCACTATTTACAAATGTTATGGGAAAATATAAGTCCATATATTAATTTGACAAACTTCTCCAAAACTTGTTATTTGATTTGAATCTATATAATACTCATAATGCTTATTGAAGCATATGTGAACTTATTTGAAATTATTGTAACCTTAAATCAAACTAAGGTACTATTAATATTATTTTGAACTTTTAGCTCTTATTTGAACTTATTAATTCTCTAAGATAGAAAATAATACTTCTTAAGTTCTTACAAGTCTAAGGAAAAGATCTATGTAATTTAAAGTTTTTCTTCTTATGCACATCATCAATATACTAACTTGTTTCCTAATTGTTGTTGACATATACTATTTGTACATATTTCAATGCAAGCTTTTACGACTAATGTACGCACTCTATTTCATAATAGTTGCATTATTTTAACCATACAAGTACATATACCGTTTAATTTTAGATATATTTAAAGATACATTGTGAATTTTTGTGATTAATCAAGCAACAAATTCACTCTACTTAATTACTAATTCAAAATTGTGAAAGCTATTATAAGGTCATAAAGAGTCAATATTTCTCGAGATGAAAGGAATCCGCGAATAGCTTATAATTTGGCGACAAGTGTAACATCACTCCAATCAAGGTACTAAACCCCCGTTTACCATTTTCCATTCACTTTCTTCTTCTTCTTCTTCTTCAGTCTAATTCTTCTGTTTTCCAGTCTTCAATAATGGATTCCAGAGAAGAACTCAGCCAAAGCTCCGATCTTTTGGATACCCCATCTTCCCCAACTCAATCCCTTCTCTCAAACCTCTCGCTAACAGATGATTCAACCCCAGATCAAAATATCACAACTTCGTTGAGGTTATTTCCTCTTCTTCTTTAATTTTTTTTATCTGATCTCATACTTTATGTTCTTCTCTTATGTATGATGCTTATTGAACTCAAAACATAGAAAATCTTTAATGTTGATGATTTTTTAATTTTATTTTTATACGTAGTATAGTCTTTTATCATGTATGTTATATGCTAATTTAGGCAATTTAGTGTAGAAAGAGGTTGCTTTTGGTAACAAATACAGTAATTATCTACAGTATTTCCATAGATTTGAATTGTTGATTCAAATTGATAGCGCTTCCTTTAAGTGGTTTATCAAACTTTTTTTTTTTTTTTTTTTGGTATTTTTGACCCTATTCACTAATTCCACCTTGATTGACTTTTATGATTTATCATTATGATAAAACATTATCATGTGAGATCTCATTAGAAATGTCTTGATAAATTTTCATAATATTCTTAACCTAATTTTTATTTATTACAAGTACAGTAATAATTAGAGATATTTATAGTTAAAATTGTATGTTGACAAACGATAACTACTTGTAAAAATAACAGATATGTTGTAAAATATGTTGTTGGATTATTAGAATAATGGTCAAATTTGTGTCTTGGAAAGTTAGAATGAATATTTTATCAAACTGTAACTTAATATATATAAAAAAATAATAAAAAAAAATAGAGGGAATATTGACATGTTTGGAGATTAAATTTTATTACTCCAGTTCATTTTCTTAGTGTGGATGTTGTTTGATTTGCATTATTGTCTTCTGGATAAACGGGCCGGAGGCTATAACCCGGTGATTGATTTTAAGTTTTTGACCATAAGAACCCCAAAGATAAGAACAGGAAATTGCAAATCTGTGGGCAGGATAAAAAAATTGCAGACTAAGAAGTAATGATGTAGTTTAATGGTAACTAAGTAATTTTTTTGTGATGATTATATTTTAAAATTTTTATTACTTTGTGGATTTTGATTGACATGGGTCCTAAATGATCCAAGAAGCACATAGACTTGCCTGTTGGATTTAAATGCATTAGACTTTATTTAGACATCCTTTTAGATAACATGCCTGCCTCTAGCTTCGATGTTGGCTAACTTTGAAGTTTGTTGTTGGAGTAGAATATAGATGCTAATGAAGAGGATGCTGATATGTTATCTACCATCAGTATGCTTAAGCTTCTGTTTTACAACCCGAATTTCACTCATTATGGTTTGAGAAAGATTCTTCAGACCTAAATCTAAGTTTCTGTAGAATACCTTGTCTTATGCTCTATTATATTTGTTAATTTGCAGCCTTCTGCATTCATGACTGTGGATATCACTTTGATTGACTCAGCTGTAAATCTTGTTGAACAAATTGTATCAACACTCGATATGTGTCATCTTGGACTGCATGTGGTCTAGGATTGGTCAAGTTCTTTTTCAGCTTAATATTTCTACCTCTTCTTTTATCTTCTTTATAGTTGTTTGAAGATTGTTAATTAGTCTTTTGCCAGTACATTAGTACAATGCCTCATTGCCTCATCGGGATTGGCTCTTGTAAGAGTACCTCACCACCCTTTATACTGTATGTTAAGATAGAGACAACTTTTTGCTGGCTGACAAGTATTTCAACATACCTTAATATTTAGAATGCCTTTCAATGAAGTGATTAACTATGTATTCTAACTTGCGGGCTGCTATTTGGAATTGGAAATTGGTAGAGTTATTGGAGATGTTGTGGATGCCATTGATAGTCCTGTGACTCTCAACATAATCTATAACAATGAAATTTTTACTGCTGGAGGTGAGTTCTTGCCCTCTCAAGTTGTTAGCCAACCTAGGGTTGAGGTTGGAGGTCACCTTGGCACTTTCTACACCTTGGTAAGTCAGCCTTTTTATGCATGAAATAAGATTTTAGACTAGTAGCATGGTTTTCTAATATCTTTTATTGATCTGTTTATCTCTTTCCCACCGGAATCTGAATTTGATTTTCTCTGTATAGGTAATTGTAAATCCTGATGCTCCGAGCCCAAGAAACCCGTCGCTTAAGGAGTACATGCACTGGTAAGTAGTCCTATGCCAATATTAGTTCCCTCCTTTTCGGCTTCACTGGTAAATAAGTCCAGGACTCAAAATATACATGCTTTTGAATTTTCCTCTTATAGTTTTGTATTCAATCATGAATTTATTGATAACCTAACCTTGTGAATACATAATCTAAAAATTTATAAAAAAAAACCAATTCATGATCTTTAAAAACTCCTGCTTTTGCACATACTATATATTATTGGCTTCATTTGCAGATCACCAATTATTTATTAGCTGCTTGCTAACAGTTTGAATTTTATTTGAATAAAAGGCTGGTGACTGATATTCCAGGGAATTCTGAAGCATCCTTAGGTGAGTTTCCTTAACAATTAGTTCAATTCTCTAGTCTCTAGTTTGCCCCCTCCGCCATGCCCCATCTAGATTTTTTTATACTACTATTGGATGAAATTCTGGAACAATTTCAGATGCTGTATTGCATGCACATAAGAATGGTGCATGCACATTTAATTCATGTTTTTCACTTCGTCGTGCTGTCTTTATTACGTTGCAAGCATTAGATATGGTCCGCATAAGAATACTGCTGATGGTACTCCAAAAACTGGTTACCACTTGCACTAACTTCATGGCGCCGCATGGGCCCTTGCAGTGCTGCAGGCCAGCGTGAGCATGGCTCAGCTCCATGCTTTCTGCCCTTTCTGGTGCATGAAATAATTTCTGTTTTGTTGCTTTAATCATCTTATTAGGCCAAGATGCTTACATTATATGTTTGAGACCACAATTATGAAAATATGGTGGAAAAAGGAAATATATAGTTGTTTATTTAACTTGTTGAAGTAAAACAATCAACCTAAGCAAGTTCCCCTTTGAGACTGCACCAAAAGTGTGTGACATTCAATATTACACAGTTCTAGAAATCGGACACCCCACGAGTGAAGAACCTACTCATACACTGCATGCAACCAACAAGATGTGGTGCACACAACGCAGTAGGGGTTCATCACATGGTTCCATGAGTCCCCCTACAATTACTTATTGCATTGAATGATCAATAGTCACTCGGCTTTTAATTTTTTAAATTCTTTGTTTAGGCCAAGAGGTTGTTCCGTATGAGAGCCCACAACCATCCATAGGGATACATCGAATGGTATTTGTGTTGCTTCAACAAAGGGGACAGCAAACTGTTTATCCTCCTGGGTGGCGTCAGAATTTCAATACAAGAGACTTTGCTGAAGTCTACGATCTTACGCCAGTTGCTGCTGTCTATTTCAATTGTCGAAGGGAAGGAGATTTGGGTGGAAGCAAATTGTAAGATCCACATTATATTAAGCTCTCTATGCTTCTCCTGCAACTCCTCCATCTTATAATTAATCCATCCCATAATAAAGTGTTTGTATTTCTTCCCAGGTCTCCCAAAAGTGTTGGCTAAAAGTCACAAATATGAAGTGAACTACGTAGTATAATGGAAGACTATTATTGTGCTTGTATAATGTTTTTTGTATTGCCCTAATATCAAATACTTACTACGTATTTTTTTTTTTTGGTGTTCTACCCGGTTCACCCTTTGGGCTAATCCGGATTCGGGGATCAGTTCTGGGTGGTTAGGTTCCAGTCCCCTCCCAATTGTTGTTGCGGGGGATCGAACACAAGTTCTCCCTACCAAGTGTAGTCCCAATCACCACTACACCAACACCCAATTGGTACTTACTACGTATTTTTAATTACTCTTTGTCCCCAAATTTTACTGTATGTCTATGTGAATGAGATATATTTATTAGTACCATAACTTAAGTTAAAAATGGAAGATAGAGATAGTTAAGTTCTGTTCAAGCCAAACCTATTGCAAAAAGTAAAATTGTGTAAATTGGTATAAATCAATACAAATCATTAAAACTAATACAAAGTGGAATATATGAATAATGTTACAATGCGAGGGAATTCCATTTAAAATCACCTAAGGAATAGCTCAAGTGGTTAGAGCTTCTCTCCCAATTCCAAGAGAATTTGGGATCGATTCTCATCCCGCTTATGTGGCTCTCTAAATACCCAAAAAAAAAAATAAAAAAATCACCTACTAAACAGGCTGTGAGTATCCAATCATTCGAGAACACAGTCAGTCGTAACGGGGTCGTTTAGTTGTCGTCTTCCACATTTTCACATCTGAGTAATCTTAGCAGTAATTGATCATCGTTGTCATCCTCAAACAATCACGATATACACTCTTCTTTCTTTCTTGTCTCAGCTTCATCAATCTAGTCAAACCCCCGAAATGTTCTCCCCTTCTCATCTCTCATCATTTTCCACCAACTTTTCTTCTTCTTCAACCTAATTTCCCCCTTTTCCAGTCTCCAACAATGGCTTCCAGTGAAGAACCCAGCAAAAGCTCCAATCTTTATGACACCCCATCTTCCCCAACTCAACCCCTTCTCTCAAAACCCTACCTTTCATCTCCAATTGAAGAATATCACCCTCAACAACAACAAGCTTCACCTCAATCTGATTCCGATCGTACCCAATTCCTTCAAATCGCCTACAATTATGGTCCTAGAACTTTCAAAGACTTACCTTTCCTCATCCTCTTTCTTCTCTTCGCACTTTGCACTTTTGGGTTTGGTATTTTCTCAATTGTCCATCATAATTCTAATTTTTCTTCACTCTCTTCCTTCTCCTATGACCCCACTTCATCTTCTTGTGTCAAAACCCCCATTTCTAATCATGGGTCTTTCCCCAATTTTTATGGGTTTTCTAATTTTGATGGGCTTTCTAATTTAAGGTATTCTAATAGTAGTAGTTTTGTAAGAGGGTTGATTTGGGTACTTGTGATTACTTTTGTATTGAGTTTGCCAATTGTATGGGGTGTGTTGTTGTTGCTTAAGCATTACACTAAGCAGCTTGTTTATGTTTCACTTCCTTTCTTTATTGTAATTCCAATTGGTGTAAATGTGTACTGGTTTGTTGCTTGCACTATTAGCTCCTCGTGTAGCGATGCATTGCCTCTTGCATATAGGATACTGGTGTTGTTGTTTGTCTTTTTGGTGATTGGGGTTATTGTGTGGATTTTCGTGATCAATTGGCATCGAATCGAGTTGACTATTAACATAATTGGTATTGCATCTGATGCACTGTCGAGGAATTTGGGATTGTTTGGTGTTGTTCCATGTTTGAAACTTGGGTTGCTAGCTTATTATGTGCCAATTGTCGTATTCTTGGTGTTCGCAAGGTATAATGGGAAGATTGTGCCTCGCGAATCCAAGGGAGACTATCATTGTGCTTGGAAGCAGGATAGTTGGGTGGGAGCTTATTATGCATTGGCTATATTGACTATGTTGTGGTCGGCGACTGTGATGTTGGAAACTAAGGCTTATGTGGTTAGTGGAACTGTTGCTCAGTGGTATTTCTCCAAGGATGATTCAACCCCAAAACGAAAAATCAGAAGTTCGTTGAGGTACTTTCCCTGCACTCCTTTATATTTTTTGATATAAACTCATAATTTATGTAGGTCTTTATGTATGATACTTAGTGAACTCCAAACATTGGAAGTCTTCAATCCTTATAAAATTGTGTTTATGATCATTTGTCAAAATGTACATTCAAAACTCAACTGTAGGTTATAGTATGTTTTGGCTTTGTCAATGATCACTTATTTTGGTGGAGATAAAGTGTTGCCAGTTGGGAATAAGATTGCATCATTCAAATAAATCATCTTTAAGTGATGCACAGGAAGTCGTCTTTAATTTAATGAAGTATATTGCAGTTTCTAGACTTCCTACATGCTACATCTAGATAATATAGTCGAGAATCATGGATTAAAGGTTAGAGGTCTTAGCGATTGGTATGTAAGTTTGGACATGGCTTGATTTGTATATTTGTCTTTTGGTTGAGGGAACTGAGATAAGAGGCCACTTTCCTGTGATCAAATTATCTATTGAAACCTTTGTTCAAAAAAAAAAATAATCGATTGAAACCTAACAAAAAGAAGGAAATATTCATATCTTCAGGCGGACAACAAGAAAGCAATGGAGACTAAGTAGTGATGGAGTTTGATAGTTGTTGTGCATACTTCTAGTTCAAGGTTGTAGACTTGTAGTTTGACTTCCTTTTCTTTGTGGATTTTCCATGGCTCCTGTGACCCAAGAAGCACTTGCCTGTTGGTTTTACTGGAATTAGACATCCTTTTAGAGCATGTTTGGTAAGGGTATTGTTTTGGTTGGAAACAGATTCAATAAACCATTATCGTTGACCCGATGTTTGGTTAAAGAGGTTTGAGTAGTAATTACCATTACCCTCCTCAAACAAGAAGAAAAGTAGTTAAGTTTAAGTGATTGCTTTCCATGGTTAAACCAAACAATTGAAAAGGTTTTAGTATAATGATCCTCCCCCCCCCCCTCCTAGTGTTTCCTTTCCATTCCGCTTCCAATGTTTGTACCAAATACTCCCTTAGGATCTCAGTGTACGTTGTCATGATTCCTTAGTCTGAAAAGGAAGCTCTGGCATTTACTAGCTAAAAAATCTTGTCGTTCTCAAGGAGTCTGCTAGAAGAGCCTTTTCTTTGTGTCCACAAACACTTCTGGTTTATTTTGGCAACTGTGATTTCATAGCTAAATCAAATTGAACTATATGTACTATGGGTTAGTAAATAACTAATCTTACCAATCTTTCATGAATTTTAAGTGGGAAAGTGTCAGCTCTGTTTGAGGTCTTACTACTATTGAGGCAAATGTGATTTGGAGGTTTGCAAATGAATGTGAGCTATTCTGCTAGGATGTCATCAAGTTCATATATAATGTAATGAGGTCTTGGGTAGTGGTCTGATGGAGCCTCTCTTCCTCTCATGGTGTAGGCATATTAATTTCCATTGTATGTTATGATTTTTGAAGGCAGGGTGTGTTCAAATATTCAATTGGAAAATGGATGTAAGCTATTCTGCTAGGATGTCATCGAGTTCAATATAATGTAAGGAGGTCTTGGATAGTGGTCTAATGGAGCCTCTCTTCCTCTCATGGTCTAGGCATATTAATTTCCATGTATGTAGTGAAGGTAGGGTATTTTCAAGTCCTCAGTTGGTAATAATGGTTCAAGATTTTTGGTGTAGCATTACCCTAGTGTGAAGTTCAGCTTAGATTTATTACAAATTCCCATAAGGAGGCTGCAGTTGAAGTGGTGTTAGTGTTGGACGTTAAAAACAAGCATTCATTTTTTTTCTATTCCTAGACATCCTGAATTCCTAATGGTTAGAATTTTTGGATAGATAACTAGTCTTAAGCTTTTGAAGAATTTTTTAAGAAAGTTTTTCTTTGGCAAAATGACTTTATATTTTGGTGGCATGATAAGAGCGATTTTGTAATAGACTGAATTTCTAGCTAGTATTTCTGATTTAAGAAGGAAAATAAATGAGAATAGAAGCTTGAAGTTTGATTGATAATGGCAAAAGAGGTACAAAATGATATGGCTTCAAAAAAAAAAAAAAAAAAAAAGGTTACAAAATGATAGGTTAATAGCTTTAGGCTATTACTCTCCTTGATAACTTTAGATTATCACTCCCTCTTAGTTACCATTCGCTCTCATTCCACATTCCAAATCTCATGCCTTTCTACTGCTATGCTACTTCCCTTTTATAATCAAGCAAAACTATAAAAAATACCTAATATTAATACTGTTTGTCCTCTACTAGAATTTATTTTATACACCCGGGTGTGTACACCTGGGTTATTTTCTCATTTAATAAATAAGCAAATTTTTTTTGCTCATTTATAAAATGAGCAAATTATCCCGGTGTACGGGTGTGTACAGAATAGGCTCTCGTCCTCTATTGCTCAAGAGATCAGAATTCAATCCTATGTTACCACACTCCCTAGTGCTTCTTTGATTAGTTTTGTTTGTCTTTTATTGTTGCTCCTTGTACCGAGTTCATTACAGATTTATTTCTTGTTAAGAATTTTGTAACTTTCTTGAGAGAAGTTATGGAGCCTCTCTTCATATGATTTATGGAAGATGAAAGCTTTTCTTAAAGGAAAAAGCTTTTTCTTTTTTTCTTTTTTTTTTTTCCCGGATTTTTCACAATATACCCTTGAGTTTTTTTGTTTATTCAATATATACCCTTGAACTTTTTTGAATTCATCATATACCTTCAAGTTTTCACAAAAATACATCATATGCCCTTGATGAGTAATGATTGTTAACTTCATCAGTCATTAAGGTTAGTTATGACCCGAAATCACCCTAAATATATTCCCCTATCTCCGAAATCACCCACAATCCTTTTTCCTACTCCCAAATCCACCTCTAATTTCTTTTTCTCATCCTCGAAATCAATCATACGGATATGGTTATGGAGATTTTGAATGGATTCTGAGGTTAGAGAATGAAGATGAATAGTTTTAGGGATGTGGGGAGATATCTAAGGTGGTTTCAACGCATAATTAACAAAATTTCACTCATCTTGTTGTCAATTTGTCATTAGGGGTATGTGGTGAATTATTATAACAACTCAAGGGTATATGGTGAATTTGAAAAATTTCATGGGTATATGGTGAATTTGAAAAAATTCACGGGTATATGGTGAAAAAACCGTTTTTTTTTGGTAATCATGGGCAGCTTCAAAGAGAATATCAGAGGTGTTCTTTTGAGAAGGAACTTTATTCTATTTGGATACCAAAATATTTTTGTCAGGAGTATCAGTATATTTATATCCTCTTTCTCTTGTAACCTTGGGTTCTTTCTTTGAAGAACTTGTTCTTAGCCTTATTTCTGATAAGTTGGTTGTAAGCTTGTAACTCATTCTGCCAAATATCTTCATTTGGCTTGGAAAAAGTGATGAATGAAGGCTGAAAAACTGAAGTGTGGAGGATAGTTCCGTAGACATTTGGTGCTGCTTTTATCTCTAGGAAAAAATGGTACAAACAGATTTTGTTGGGTAGTTCTTGCTTGTGTCATCAAGAAACTCATCAATTCAAGCTCCTTTTTTTCAGGCAGCTGTATAGCTGGAATAAAGTGTTTAGTCATGTGTAGCATGAGGGTGTGACAGCTTGAAGGCGTGATATATATTTTTTAATTAAAAATAAAATTCTTAGACCTCTATATTGTTTATGCACTTGTGATCTCTTTTTTATGTTTTTATTACTTATCAAATGTGATTATTTAAAAAATTAACTTGGACTATTTGCACCTCTAATGTAAGGGGATTATGTTGCTAAGAAATGCTTAATTTTCTTTTCTCTTGTATTATGTGAAGAAAAGTGCACTCGTATACTCCTGTAATGGAGTAAAAAAGAAATTTAAAAACCCTGTCTTATCAGTCCAGCTGACTGTTTCTTTCCTATACGGTCACACAATAAGTTATTTGCTTATTAACCATTCTTAGTCCAAGAGAACATCAGTTGGTCTCCCCAATTTAGCTCTGTTACTTGTAATATCATTTATTAGGGCACTTTATTACTTATCTTTGTCTTTGTGTTCAGGATATTTACTTTGATTTGCAAGAGCTAGCTTGAAATTGGTGTAAAAGTTAGCATACAATTTGAATAATTGACTGCTTCTATCTTATAATTAATTTGTTAATAATTTTAGATTTTGCTACCTGACTACAATATGCGGATAGTGCCAAATTAGCTGATCCATCACACCGGAGCTTGGTGCTGCCGAATATAAACTTTAATTAAGTAGTTAGTGTTGTGGCTTCTCCGTTCTACCAAGTGGGTTTGCTTTTGACTTGCGATGATCAAGCTTGTTGGAATTATAGGGATTCCTTTGTGATGCTAGGGACTTAAAGTTGTGGGGAGGATCCTAGGAATCCAATTAAGATTTTATGCGGGCAACAGTGATGGTTATTGTTGATGTTGGTAGTGCTATCAATTATATGTTTAGTGTCATATACTTAGTGGGCATTGACCTACAAATGGACAATTGGAGGCTTCTCTTGAATTTTGGTCCATATAGTATATTCCCTTAAGCCTTGCAGGTGTGTCACACTTGTGTGTGTTGATCTGAGAAATGGGCTATACAAGCAACCTGGGTCTGTTATGGAGAATGCGTGTGATATTAGACGGCTTTCCACTTTGTGTTCCCCAAACTTTATATTATTCTTTGGAGTAAATTTTGTTGCATATATAGCCTTTGGCCATCAAGCAATGGAATTGCAGGTTGCCGTCAATCTAGCCTTAAAATGGAATTTAACTTTTACTTTTTTTCGGCTTGCTTGGCTTGTGGACCCAGACTGACTTTTGAGGTATTCTGGAAGACTTTTCTCTAAAATTTGCTGAAATTCTTTAACAGCAATTTTGTCTGCTCCTCTCTAATAGGTTTGTTTGTAAAAATAATACTTTGTATTGGTTTTGTTTTACCTGCCTTTTCTACGAGGCTATGACAAAGAGCCCTAGGAGGAATTATCCTCATTTTTCTGGGACCTTATAAGGGTATCATGGGTGTATTCTTCAATCGTGGTCCATAAGCTTATTATTAGGCTGAGCCTTCTTGGTTCAGTGTCATCTATGATTTAGTTGATCAACATGGAAGGATTTGAGCTTTGACTCATGGAAACGTTCCTGGAGTTGGTATGTGTTTCATAAATGAAACTGCTTCCTGAAACATCTTTAAAATATACTTATTGGGTAACAGAGTTTTGATTAAAATGAAAAGAGGAAGTATTTTGGAACACTTAAAGCAACTATTTCTTGGCCTTGTAATAAAAAGAAAAAAAAAAAAAAAAAAAGGGGTCAAAGTATATGGTTTCTCATGTGTATCTCATTTACAGAAGCTTTTTACTTGCTTAAGTGGGGGAGTTTTATTTTATATTAGTAGGTTATGTGTCTCTTTGCTTTACTCGCGTAAGTTATTTATGAACCTAATAAATTTATACGTTAATTTTTTGGGTGACTTCCCTTGAACTTCCAACTTCTCGTCTTCTACAGAGTGAACAAATATGGAATACATAAGCTGATCTAGTTAATACTAGCTATAGAGTTCATATAGGAAGATAATAAAAATATAAAGGTTCTGTTGCAGCCTGCCATTGAACCCAGCATTAATTTTTCAAGGCAAGTGCAATTACATCATTGCATCTGATTAATGTGTTAGTGCAGTGTAGCAGATATTATACAAGGTTTTTTTTTTTTTTTTTTTTTTTTTTTTTTTTTTTTTTTTTTTTTATCTGACCACTATTTACATTTACAGAAATGCATTTGGCCCTTCCGCTGGAACTATATGCTTCTCCGGCTTAATAATGTTTATTGTCCGCTTGGTGCGTGCTGCGGTTGATAGTGCAAGACAAGAAGAGGCTACTGGAATTGTGAATGTTGTCCTTCGGTGCTGCGTCAAAGTTTTCATGGCAGCTGTAGATTTTCTTAACAAATTCACCATAAACTTTGCTGCTATTACGGGTGAAGCTTATTGTACATCTGCAAGGATGACATATGAACTTTTGAAACGTAATCTTCTATCAGCTGTTTTTGTGGAGACAATTTCTGCACGTTTACTGGGTGGGATAATTTTCGTCCTTTCAGCAGTATATGCTGTTGTGGTAAGTAGTTTACTTCATTTAGTCCGCTCTGTTGCTTTTTGAAGTGATACGAACACTAGTAGCGTGTAGGTTTTTTTTCCTTGCTTAAAGAAAGCTATTTATTTTCAGCAACTTCATATTAGTTTCAGGCATAGTAATCACAAAATGAAAAGCTGGGCAGTAACCATTATCTTAACCTGTATAATATAATATTTAGGCCTAAATCCAATTTCAACAGGCGTTTAGTTGCGCAAAACTCTGTTTTGGAGTGATTTTCAGGTGTCAAATTCAGAATCAGCTGTGTATGAGAATTGAGAAATCCCCCATATGGCCATATGATTAGCTTTTTCTTTCTTTCTTTTTTTTATCACCCACCCCCTCCTTCCCCCAAAAATAAGGCAAGGAAGAAGCTTCTCTTGTTAGTTATGTGTAATAATCATGGAAAATGAAGCTTTGCTATCTTCTTTTGGTTCCTCATTTACTTGTTTGTGTTCAAGTTAAGCTGAATGTGAATTTTTTTTTCTTTTTCTTTTAGGTCTGTGCTATTCTAAATGGTGTAACAAGTCTTGGAGTGTATTCATACTACATTTCCCTCCTGGCTTGGTTGCTGCTCATAGTGATGCTCGGTTTCTTTGTGCACCTGCTCGATGATGTGATTGACACAATATATGTATGCTATGCCATTGACCGAGACAGAGCAGAGGTTAATAAGCCTGAAGTCCATAATGTTTATGTGCAGCTTCCTATAAGCCGGAGTATCCGAACACCTCCACTCAACGTGTAAATTATCATACTCCAATTTCTTTTTGTTTTTTTTGTTCTGGTGTGGTTTGATTTCATCTCTGTATTCTGTAATTCTAATTTGTTATCCCACTCTGTAATACTTGGTGGGTTGTGTATATCCTCTGTTCATTTGTAGAATTGAGTTTTCTAACAATAAATTGAATAATTGAAGAGGTAATCTTCAAAGAAGTATGAGAAGAGTTAATTAGTTGTACAACTTTGCTACATTTTATTGGCTCTCCTAATGTTTTCCATTTCAGTTGTGAGAGTTAATGATATCTAAACCATATTCTGATACTACACCTACTGATGGTTATCTCTTAATTGAATATGGTTGATTAATCATTTTATCCGTATTAGTCCTCTACACTAATATATGGGCATGTTCTGTTATAAGTTTAGTTAACTTCAGATAAGTTAAGTTTAGGAAAAATAAGTTCTAATAAGGTTATTCAAGTACAAATTACAACTAAAATAAGTTTTAATAAATTCAGATAAGTTTAGATAAGTGAAATAAGTTGAATAGAACAGACCCTAAATATGTTACAAATAGCGGTAGATCTGTGAAATGATTATAGTTCATCCGTTTTGTGAAAATTGCAACGCTATTGGGGGAAAAAAAAAATGAAACACTTTGATTTGTAAAAATATATCTGTACTAGACTACCAGGTATAAGGTAAATTTTCATTTCGAAGAAGACATTCTAACCATATGTGCAAGAATAGACTACACCACTAAAACAAAAGAGAGTCATAACTCAATGATCAACATTATTGGTATATAATCCTATCAAATTCACAATCGGTCAAATGAGGAAGAAAAAGGGCGAATAATACTCCAACTATTGAGTTACACCCATAAGATTCGAAGAAGCTCAAGATGTTTGATGTTTCATCTATCACCATGCCTCCAAATGCATAATGCCATAAACTGGTTACAAATCATGATCTACTCACAAACATTTGCATATGTTTGGTATGTACCTTGGAAAAATAAGAGATAATAAGCCTACTAAACACGATTTCTTTCGCTACATCCATTAGTAACATGCTGCAAACTACTGGCGAAATTCATGGGGCCAGCTTAGCTTTATTCCGTGTATCCATCCATCCATCTTCACCATTCACACCCTCGAGCTCAGAACTTATCCTTTTTACTAGGGTAATATTACGTCGTTTTATAACTTTATTCATAAGAAAACACTGAGTGTATCATTGATAATTTATCTTGACACACACATGTTAAGTGCACATGCACACGCTTATACACAGATATGTAGCTCGGATTCTCTCTATATATACCTACTGCTAATAATTCATTAGTAAGTAGTTTTAGTCAATGATTTTGATAATGGAAAAGAATTAGTAGGTTAGCTTGGCCAATAATTAAAATAGGATTCTCTAAATAATACGATATAATATTATTAATTAGCATTGTAGCTAGATCGAGTTTATGGTCTGATGGGCAAAGAGGTGACATCCGATATGCATGAGGGCCTTTTCGTCCCATCACAACATACACATAAACATAAGCATACACCCACTTCCTTCCATAAAACTATATGCAAAGCTTAGCATATACTTAGAATTTAGTGCTTGTGATTTTGCAAATTTTCCATTCATACATGATTCTCCATCATTCTATGTTCTCTCGTTTCCTCTTCCACGTTTATCAATTATACTACACTAGCGGTTAGCAGTAGAAGTAAAGTCGTCTTCATTCCATTATTGTTATTAGAAATATATGCAATGTTTTGGATAAAGTTGCCATCCAGGGCTAATACAGGCCATACAGCCACTTGCCCCAAAACAATTTTATTTATTTTTTAATTTATTATATTAATTTCTTGACATTCTCATTGAAATAATAATCGAGCAATTTGGGGATGTGATATCTTATTGAATCTAACAAAATTGTAATTGCATGCAAAGAAACCTCTCTGCCCCCAAAATATGTACTGTTTGCCAAAATAGTATATCTTGTGCAACTGTGCAAGTGATCTAGTCCACCTACTAACAGCCAAATTGATCTATATACCTTTTTCCAAAAATTCTCCATAAATGGTTAGATAGCACCATCTTCATTTCTATTGGGCCATCCTAATTGACAAATTTATAATACCATTAATATAATAATTTAAACACTAGTAATACGAAGTTCAAAGTATAATTTGGGAGTAGTTTAGTGAAACTATCAAAGGACTAAATCAATCTTAAACTAATGTATGGTTAGGACTCATTATTAAACATATAACCTTCTTGTTACGTTGATTCTTGAAACTATATCATAGAGTCAACTCTGACTAAAGCTCAAAGACTGGTTTTATACTCTAGCCAATATACTTCGTAGTTCGTACAATCTACAACTCACAATTTGTATTATACATGTGATCGAAGAGCATAAAGAGTATGTTGCTCGCAGGGTATAAAACGGAGTATGAATTTATTCGAACTAATTATAGGCGTCATGTAGGTTAATAACAATTTTTTAACAACTTATCTTCCTTGATTGAACTTATTTACTTGAATAAATGTATTTTTACATAAATTAGAAGAAAAAAAGAAGGCAGTTAGACTAATACAATGTGTATAATTGTTGAAAACTATGTAAGAGATCGATGTAACCTCTAGTTAAGCATAATTAAATTCATACTAAACATAAAAAAATTATCAAGAATATCCCAGTAAACATGGAGATTTGGCTTCCATTACTGCAACAATATGTCCATATTATTTTCTTATGGGGCTGCACAACATATCGGTAAAAACATTAGGGGAGTAACTGGCCAAGTTGTTAGACAAAAAAATAATGTGCAATATACACTGTTACCAAATTTCCTTCACTTTTACGTAAAGCGGCTCGGCGGATACATTCTTATTAGCAACTCCAAGAAATAGAAGAAGAATGTTCGTTGTTGTGCGATCCAAGATTTTTTTTATCCATTGTATATATCCTCTTGCTACACGCACCCTTCTTTTAATTTACACTTCTATGATAGGAATGACGGCCAAATTAATAGGAAGAATGACCTAAGCTAGAAATAGGTAGAAAATATCCGATTTCATTGACATTTGTAATTTAGAAATATACTTGTATAATTTTATCACACGAGAATTTTTGAATGAATATTATTTTAAAATTGAATGACTTTGCGTAGTCTGTATATAAAGAGAGTTATTATGACGTATATATAGTGAGTTGAAAATTGATTATAAAAGTATACAATCTAAATTTGAATGTGAAAGATTATTATTGACTGTTATAGAAAGTATATGTACATTTGTTTTTGCTTATGAGTTTTCTCTTTAAGATTATTATTCAAATCAAATTAGCCTTTGTCAAGGCCAAATGTGGACTACATAATAAAAATTAAAATATACTCTGTATGGGTGAGTGCTCAGCCAATGTGATAGTTGTGTAGGTTGTTCACGAATCATGCACCCCCGTTGCCTGAATTTGATGCAATCACGGTTGACAATTCACATTTCTCACGCCCAATACTCCTTTGATTTATTACTACTATACGAGTGTTACATACAATGATACAAGCACTAAACGTATATGAAATATGTGATATGGTTAATTGGTTAGCTTAGCACATCATTCAATTATACTTTTTCTTTTATTACAATAGTGTTTTAAGTGTGTTATGTTCACCTTAAGACAATAGGTTTTAGGTTTAATTAGGGGTGATCAAGTCCATTCAGATAAACATAGTAAATTATGGCTAATAATGTCGAATAAATAAGTTCACTTCCATCTCTAGTTATACAAAACAAGTACTCCGACTTCGTATTAGTTTACTACCTTGTTTTTTAATACATGTGTTGTATCACTTTATTTAATTGAGTGGTTTTTGGATAAATAGGTCATTTTTATATCTAGCATGTGACTTATAACAGTCAAGCTGCATTAGGACCTTGTTTCTGTTTTATTGACACAAGCTCAATACATCACAAATTTTCTAAAGCTATTTTAGACACGACTCGCTAGAACACGTGTTTATGACCGGCCTTGTCCATGACCAACTCTAATCTCTCTATAAATAGAGACTATAGAGTGAGAATTGTAATAATCACCAAGTTGAGTGGCAAATCAGAAAACCTTAGACTTCTATATAAAGTCCAACCTTTGCCACATCACTACCATCCAACTCACAACCAAAACACTTGTTCATTTCAGACTCAAACTCAAACTCGACAGAGCAGCAGAACACAGCAACCCATCAAAACAACATGGCTATGGCATTTAAGATGGTAATACAATTTTCTCATCTTAATTATTTTGTTAATTCTAATTACATAATCTATTTTTACAAATTTTTAACATTAAATTGAATATGCTAAAATCATAATTAACAGGCGACAATGGGGATGAGAGTAACAGAGGAATGTAAGAACTCGTTTATGGAGATGAAGTGGAAGAAGGTGCATCGCTACATCGTATTCAAGATCGATGAAAAGTCCGGCGGTTTCACCGTCGATAAGGTCGGCTCCGCCGGTGAAGGCTACGATGACCTCGCCGCCTCTCTTCCCGACGACGATTGCCGTTACGCCGTCTTCGATTTTGATTTTGTCACCGTCGATAATTGCCGCAAGAGCAAGATCTTCTTCATCGCTTGGTATTTACGCCACTCCCTCTCTTTTCTTTTTCTTTTTTATTTCTTCTTATTTCTTAATTTAAAATCATAATTATAAATTTACTGATAAATTAATTCATTAATAAAAAGTCGTACATAAGTGTAGGGTAGCTGATGGGTCAAGTAGGATGGATTTTATGTGATTTGATTCAAGTGAATTCAAATAATCAAGAGGAAATAGTTTTGATTGTTTTATTATTTTGTATGCATTTATTTTGTTCATGAACAATTAGACATGTTGTTTAAACAACTCTGACGGTGTACGTTTTATTTTAAAGAAGGGTTTGATCAACATGTATCAATAACTCTATAAGCATATGCTTAGATGCTTTAAAGAATGACAAGAATGTGTGTTCATGAACCCGTGTTGATGTATAGTATAGATTCATTGATCATTGTTATTGTTGGGTTGAGGTTAAAAGAATATATTTTTAAAAATTGGAGTAATAAAAATAATTGATACAGATAAACTTATTCAATCATTATATTATTTTCAAACCAATATCAGTATCGATCAATTCTATTTAGTATTAAATAAAAATTATAATAAATTCATTACCGACAGTACCGAAAGTTAGCTCAAAAGCTTACACTATCGCGATCAAGCACTTTGTGAAAATTACATTGCACTTTTTACCTTCCTCAAAATGATGTTTGTTTGTATACAAAATGACAACAATGGACCTAATATTGTAAATAATTACGATTTCAGGGCACCATCAGCATCAAGAATTAGGGCAAAAATGTTGTATGCAACATCAAAGGAAGGGATAAGGAGAGCATTAGATGGAATTCATTACGAAGTCCAAGCAACCGAGCCTAGTGAGATGGGGTTCGACATCATCAAGGATCGCGCTCATTAACTCTAATGTTAATCTTAAATTAACAGCCCCTCGAGAACTCGAGTTAATCCGAAGATGTTCTAATTTATGTGTCTTTCATTTGATGACCTTAGATTTAGATCAAAGGTAGTATAATTAAATTGGAGGAGCTTTAATCAATGTGTTTGCTAAGCTAGTTTTTGTTGCTCCCCTCCTTTGATCTTTTCTTGTTGTCTCTCTTTTTTGTTTTTGGTGGTACTTGAAATCATGCTAATCTTGTTGTATCTTGTATGTTAATCTTCTAATTTGGTAAATTAAAATAATTGAGGTGGGCACTTGTACTAATTAATCAAGTAATAAAATAGTAGTTTTAGCCATCTTTATTTGTTGATGCACCACCCCACCTTGGATTTTATCCACCAAATTTGCTTTATTGTAACACAAATGATTCTTTTCTCTTTATAACTTTTTTATGATCAAAACGATAGTGATGTTTCACCCCAATTGGTAGAGCACATCAAAATAAAATTAATTGATCAAAAGAGAAAACATGAAGCCGTATAAGAAATTTGACCTTATTCTACCCAAGTGGAGGCACACTTCATTCGATTATCACCCACCAAGTCTAAGGGCGTGTTCGGCAAAATATAGCTGTGAAGGTAACTGTAGCTGTGGAGGTAGCTGTTAGCTGTCAACAAGCTATTAGCTGTGAAGATAAATAATTTAGATATGAGTGTTCGGTAAAGTAGTGGTTGACTAGCTGTTACATATAAAAATCAATATTTTATTTTTAAAACTATAGATTAAATTTTCAACAGCTACTTGAAAATCTACCTCTAATTTCAAAAGCTAATATTTCTAACTTTTCACAAAAGTTACCTCCACCACTAAAAGCTACCCTAACCACTACTTTGCCAAACACTCACATTTTTTGTTGAGTAGTGGTTTGACCAAGTCAAACCACTAAAAGCTACCTAAAATCTACTCAAAAGCTAACGCCGAGCACGCCCTAAATGGATGAGGTAGGGTCATTATCTGTTATAATTGTAATTAAATGATAGGACCTATATAGATTATGATGAACTTGTGATATCAATTGTGCTATTAGTAGATTTAATGATGGTCTAATGCTAGTGTAAACCATACAAATTCAAACCTGCAATATACAAATAAAGAGGTAGAAAAATATACGGGAACAATTATTTCATTGATATTTTGCGGATTACAACTACCGTAGATCTCTTGATTCTCTTTAAAGGGCTAGCATTTTGATATTTGTTATAGTCAGGGCCTTGTCGGCTTAATACATACTATGTACCTACAATGTTTGGTAGTAGGGAGGAGATGGGGTTTTTGTGACTTGTTCCATCTTAGCCTCATTAAACCCTAGGAACGACCCTTTTTATATAGAATGTCGTAGAGTAGTAAACAAGATAGCTATTAAATATTCTATGATATTTTGAAGATAATATCTTATATTTTTTTGATATTATCTCCTTATTTACATAAATCTGACACCTAATAATTAACAAAATTTCGGTGTCAACAACCCCTAAATAGAATACAGTTATATATGATTGTGTAACAGCTTTTGTAACACCTGTGCTTTCCTAGGATCACCAGAATTATCAGGATCTTTATTGCAATACATCAAATATCCAATTGATGAATTGAACATAATAAGAAAGCCAACAAGAATATACATGATATCTATCTTCCACAATAAAACACCTATTATAACCACATATCAAATATCCTTTTCTGTACATCAAAAAGACCATAGAGCAAGAAGAGGACTCGGCTTATGGAAGGTGATATAACATAATGGTCATCAAGGTGCGGCAGGCATCATTTAGATTCTACTCATTCTCATTTCCTTCTTTTACTTCTAATTCTAACTCCAACCTTTTGTTTAAAATTTTCACTCCATTTCCTTCCACACCTCTCTCTCTCTCTCTCTCTCTCTCTCTCTCTCTCTCTCTCTCTCTCTCTCTCTCTCTCTCTCTCTCTCTTGCTCATCTAATCTAGTTTCACACTCCTCTCTCTCTCTCTCTCACTCACACACACACACACACACTTCTAATCTAGTTTTACACAACCTCGTCATATCTCTCTCTCTCTCTCTCTCTCTCTCTCTCTCTCTCTCTCATGCTCATGTAACACACTACATCCTTATGTTTTTCTCTATCTCTTGCTCATCTAATCTAGTTTCACACTACCTCCTCAATGTTTCTTTCTCTCTCTCTCTATCTAACACACACACACACACACACATCTAATCTAGTTTTACACAACCTCTTCATATTTCTCTCTCTCTCATGCTCATGTAACACGCTACATGGCCTACATCCTTATGTTTTTCTCTATCTCTTGCTCATCTAATCTAGTTTCACACTACCTCCTCAATAATATTCTCTCTCTCTCTCTCTCTCTCTCTCTCTCTCTCTATATATATATATATATATATATATATATATATATATATATGCAAAAATTTTGAGGATGAACAAAGTCCAGGGCCCAAAAAGACAATCAGTAATACCATTAAGAGATGAGTAGATGACTGATGGACAAAGTGAAAATATTTAGCCATGCAACCAACACCTATCACGGGGTAGGTATATGTTTGATAAGGAGTGTAGGTGGGATTGAAAAGTTTAATACCCAACTCTCAAATTCCTATGTTTGTTAAGGGGTAAGGGGAATAGGAGGTTTCTGCTCAACCCAACCATTTCTAGTGTAATTTTGAGATAAGTAATTATCAAGGACACAAATAAAGGAAATTATGATAAAAATTAACAACAAAAAAACATTGGCAACATTGCCTGAATGGTGCATGGAGTTTTCACGTTTTTCAGCCAGAAATGCACATAGCAGGAGAGAAAGGACAGGACAAAACGGACAGAGCAATGTTGGAACAAAGGACATTTAATAGGAAATAAAATTGGTATTGATAAGACTCATAAGAGCACGAGTACCATGGGCATCTGCTCAATGTCAGCATCATTCTCATGTTCAACTATCCAGTTAACAACACCCTCAAGACTGGAATTACTAGAGCATAATTGTCTCATTATGTTCCCTAAAATCATACAAGTAGCAAACTTAAATAAGAAAAGATAACAATGCAAGTACCAAATCACAACCTCTAGATATATAGAAATTACACAACTTAATTTCCATTACAGTAGAAATTATTGTTGTTAATTCATGTTACCTTTGTACTATTTCAAATCAAAACCCTAAAGCTAGAAAGAAAAGGAAAAATTGAAAACAAACCTTTCAATTTCGAGAGTAGACTAAATAATTTATGAACATTATCTAATTTTGTCAATACTCAATAATAAAAGATATTAAATAGATGATATATTGCTACCTTTTTATACAATTATTCAAAAGTGTTGCAACAAATTTAGCCCAAAATTTGTCACTAAAGATAGTTTTTCATGTTCATTTGTTTTATTATGAGATGAGTAGATGACTATAAGCACCCATTCTCCACTTCTCCGCCAATATTTTATCAAGGTAAAACATCTTGCAAGTTTTTTTTTTTTTTTTTTTTTTGACAAAGAGAACTAACAAAAAATTAAAAAGTGAAATGAAGTAAAATTCTACGCCTAGCTGCACCAGCAAGAGAGTGAGCCTCAGCAACCGATGTCCTAGAAACCTTCTGAACATGACACGTTGAGAAGGAGGAGATAACATCCCGGATTTCCTGAATTGTCCACATTACCGAAATATCAGCAGTTCTAAAATCCTGGATCAACCGAGGAATAGACATGCAGTCTGTGAACAGGTAAATGCTCGAGAAACCCCGATGTCGAGCATGCTTAAGACCGAAAAGACAAGCCTGCAGCTCAGAATGAAGAGCAGAACTAGCCATACAGGCCCGAGCTCCACCCCCAATGCAGTGGGAAAAAGAGGGATCCAAGAAACACCAACTCGCACCTGCATTATGATTCTGTCGATCCCAGGCACCATCAAAGAGCATAGAAACTTCACATAACATGTTAGGATCACCTCGTAACACCAGTCTCTCAGAGGGAGCAGAAAACCCAGGGGGAACACTAGTAGAACAGCTAGAAAACTCACGAGCCTTACCACTTCTAGTGGACCATTCCCAAGCAAGATCCAAGACAAAATGAGGGGAATAAACCGCCGATCGAAACCGAACATTATTCCTAGTAAGCCAAATGGCCCAGCAAATCCCAAAAAAACAATCCAAAGCAAGCCAATGCTTAGCCTTCGCAAAGCTGGAAATAATGCCAGAGAACCAAGCAGAAAAAGGAAAAGAAGTATCAGGCTTAGGGAGCGACCCCCAGTCCATGGAATCCCATAAACTACTAGAGAAAGGACAATCCCGAAATAGATGTCCCACGGACTCCGAAGAGACATGACAAAACACACATGTGGTATCAATCGGAATGCCCTTAAGAGCAAGAACCTCTGCTGTCGGAAGAGCATTATGTAAGACCTTCCAAGCTAGCAATTTCCACTTTGGAAGAATAGACAGACCCCATAAACGTTTCCACCATGAAGAATCAGTAGAAGTACTTTGAAGGGAAAATTGCTGAGACAGGAGGGCTGTATAAGCAGATTTGGTCGAGAACGACCCATCCCGAGTATATTTCCAGTACAAAAAATCATCAATCTTCTGTATTGGGCGTTCTAAACCAAGAATCCCCGAAGCAACAGAATTGGGAAAAAGATGCCTAATCAAAGACGTATTCCAAATACCAGAATCGGGAAGTAGTAAGTCAGATACCAGCAAAGGACGATCTTCTTCAGGAATACAATCCTTGAACTCAATCCTGATGTCAGGCACCCAACAGTCCTGTAAAATGCTAACATTATCCCCCTGGCCTACCTTCCAAGCCAGACCTTGGGATAAAGCTACACCTCCCTCTACCAAACCACGACAACCCCAAGAAGGGCGAGGACAAGTAATCGAAGCTTTAGAAGAAAGTAAGGCAGGGTACTTAGCTTTAAGGACCCGAGAAGCCAACAACTGAGGATTGGACCGCAGACACCAAGCTTGCTTAGCCAGCAATGCTAGATTAAAGGATCGAAGATGGCGAATACCCAACCCCCCTAATCCTTTAGGGAGATGCAACGCCGAAGAAGGAGCCAAGGACAAACCCCTGGAATCTTTGTTAGACTTCCACCAAAACCGAGATAGAAGAGAATCTATCCGATCACAAATAGTAGCAGGAACTTTGAACACAGAAAGAACATGGTTAAAAGAAGCAACCAGAATAGAGTTGATGATTACCAACTTTGCAGCCGCTGATAAGTGGAGAGAAGCAAAGGAAGAGAACCGATGAACCACCTTATCAACCAAAAACTGAAATTCTTTGCACTTCGCACGACCCAAGTCCACCGGGAGACCCAGATACTCACTAATAGAAGGTTTTGATTTCATTCCGAGACTAGCAGACAAATAGTCTCGAAAATCATCAGAAGTGTTGGAACTAAACCGAACAAAAGGTTTTTGTAAATTAATCATCTGGCCAGAAACCGAACAAAATTCATTTGTCACTGAAAGGATTTGGTCACAAGCTGCAGGAGACACCTTAAAAAATAACAGTGCATCATCCGCGAAGAACAAATGGGAAACAGAAGGAGCCCTCCTGGACACTCGTAAACCCTAGAACAAACCTTTTTTCTCAACACGACGCAGCATTAAAGAGAAGACCTCCATGCATAAAACAAACAGATAAGGAGACAAAGGATCCCCTTGACGAAGACCGCATCTAGGGAGGAAAGGCCGAGAAGGAGAACCATTAACCAGAATTTGATACGAGACTGTTGAAACACATTGTTGCAATAGATGAACCCAATACGGAGGGAAACCAAATTTGCGGAGAACGTCCCATAAGAAATTCCAATTAACCCTATCATACGCTTTATTCATGTCTAGTTTTAAGGCTGCAGAACAAAGTTTAGAAGAAGAAGTAGACATGTAAGATAACAGCTCATGAGCCAACAGACAATTATCCGTCATAAGCCTACCCGGAACAAAGGCATTCTGAGAATCAGAAATCAAGGACGGCAACACTCGACGGAGCCGATTAGTAAGGCATTTTGCAATGCATTTATAAAGCACATTGCATAACCCAATGGGGCGAAACTGAGAGGGAGATTCGGGATGGTCAACCTTTGGAAGGAGGGTCAAAAAGGTCCTATTCCATTCCTTTAATAAATAGCCATGAGCAAAGAAGAACTGAATGGCTTTAACTACCTCAAACCCAACTACCGCCCAATGCAACTTAAAGAAACCTGCTGTAAATCCATCAGGGCCAGGCGATTTATCTGAACCAATATGAAACATAGCAGCTTTAATTTCCGAATAGGAAAAAGGCTTCATAAGGAACTGATAATCCTCAGGAGAAAGAGTAGGAAGATCCAACTCCTCCCAGTTACAAGGAACAGAAGCAGGAGAGGTATCCTGGCAATTAAACAACATAGAAAAATGCTTGAGCAATAGATCGGAAATCTGCTGTTGATCTGAAACCCAATTATCCTTATCATCTTTTAAACTCATAATTTTATTCCTATGCTGCCTAGTCTTCACGGAACGGAACAGAAGACTCGAATGAGATTCTCCCAAAGCATCCCATCGCGTCTTACACCTCTGCTTCCAAAATAAGAAAGCAGTCTGGGCACGAGATAAATTATCTTCCCTAATCAGCAAAAGCTCACTTCGAGCTTGTTCCTCCTGCAAGTTTGAGGAACTTGAAATTACTGAATCTTGAAGATTCTGCCAATCAATACCCCATTTCCTCTTGTTTGAAACACACCAGTTCAACAAACAACGCTTAACATCTTCCAATTTACGGGAAATAGAGAACATATAGGAACTAGGAGGAGAATTTTGCCACTGATTTTGAATCAAAGAAGAAATGTCCGTTAAACTCAAGCACCAATTCTCAATCTTATAAGGGCATTTTTTGAAGTTGGAAGAACCGGCTTCCCGAAGAATAATAGCAGCATGATCCGAGAACAAGATCGGTTGGTGGAGAATAGAAGCCTCAGGATGTAAATCCAACCATGAGGAAGTAGCATATCCTTTATCAAGCCTTTCAAAAGTAGGTTTTTGAAGTTGACCATTAGTCCAAGTAAAGTGTGGTCCATTGAACGGAATGTCCATCAACTGAGAGTTTAATTTCCAATTTATAAAATCATGACGCCCGTGAATAACAGAAGAACCACCAACTTTATCACTAAAATACTCAACTTGATTAAAATCCCCTAAAATAACTGCATTTGGTACGTCATTTAAGATTGAAGAAATTTCATCCCAAACTAAATACCGAAAAGAAACATGAGGTGATCCATACACAAATATGATATATTTTATTGCTTGGCCAGGAACTTCCACTTTGCAAAAGATTACATGAGCTGAAACCGAAATAGGCATAACTACTACAGGGGCAAACCAAAAAACTACCAAACCCCCACTAAGGCCTAAAGCATCCACCCCACAAAAACCATCATAGCCTACTAAAGACAGCTTATTCATAGCAACATTCACAGGAAGCATAGTTTCCATAAGGAAAACTACATCTAAACTATAAGAGCGGACTAACGATAAAATATAAGGAATTTTAGGGGTGTCCGCTTGTCCTAAACCCCTACAATTCCAAGCACCAACATTCATCTCGACTCGGGTGGCCCAATACGGGGGGCCACCAAACCCTCAGAAAAAGAAGTAGTAGAAGCTGAAACTAAGCTGAAACTTGTAAGTTGAATCAGTATTACCTAATAAATTGAATTTGTATCTTCTCAAGATCATCTCAAAAATATTCGTTTCCAGTGAGCTTCCACAACTATCTCAGATTCAGCCTTTACAATCCCCCGACCTATAGATGTTGGATCTGGTGAAATTTTCTCTATGGAGGCGGATGCACGATGCTCCGTGCATCCGTTTTCTCTTAAAAAAGGCGGAATGAACATTCCGTTGTTCAGTAAAGAACATACATTTGTTTTGTAAAGAACATATAGCTATTTCATAAAGAACATCACATATAGTTGTATTGTAATGAACATATAGTTGTTTTATAAAGAACATATAGCTATTTTGTTAAAAAAAACATCTAACTTCATGTTCTTTATATAAATCTAAAGAACATCAGTAATATTAATTAAAACATGATAATTAGAGGTGATCAACTTCGGCCCGGCCCGATCCGGCCCAAAAATAAGGCGGATTCGAACAAGCCTAAAAATGTATTTTTAGTTAAAAATCCAAACTCGGCCCGATAATAACCCGAAAAGCCCACTACATTTTCCGGGTTTTTTGGACACAAGATATTATGTTAAGGCCCAGCCCAACCCGAATTTTTTATCACCTCTAATGATAATATAATGTAATGATCGAACATTATTTTTATTCAATCACCATAATTTAAAGACAAAATTCAAAGAACATTCAAAATAAACAATTAAAATATGTCACAAATAAAAGTACATTATTCTGACAATCAAGGAACATGAAGATAAAGAACATTATTTAACTACACATTATGTTCTTTACAATTTTATAACATGTTCTTTGCACTTTAACTGAATGTTCTTTACATTTCTATACGATGTTCTTTACAATTCTATAATATGTTCTTTTCACTTAAACTAAATGTTCTTTATATTTCTATGCAATGTTCTTTCCGCTATTTTTTTTGAAGAGATGCACCATGTGGATCGTGCATCTATCCGCCTGCACGAACATGCATTGGTTCAGTAAAAATCAAAGTGAAATCAAACCAGCAGCCCCTAACTTCTACTGCATCATTATTCATGAGAAGAGGATCATAATTTAAAATTTATATTTTCAACTTCTGTTTATAACTTGTGTTTCTTAACTACACTCAAAACTTGTTATACAAGTTCCAAATTCAAGATACACTCCAAATCCAAAACCCATCCTTGGGTTTCACTGCTCCTACTCCATTCTTGCGATGAGATTGCAAGACGTTCAACCCATCTTCTTCACAATTGTAAATAAAGTTGATAGAGTACGTAGTGTTTGTTTCAATGGTGTAGCTTTATTTCATTGAAACACCATAGAGGGGAGAGAGACAACCTAAAGTTAATTTGGACTGAAAGGACAATTGCCAAAAAAAAAAAAGGAGAGGGCAAATTCGAAACGACACTAATTATTTCTACAATAACACATACATACTCTTGTTTTTTACTCCCTCCGTTTTAAAATAGTTACTCAATTTCTCCATGCGCGGAGTTTTAGGAGAAATGGGAGAAAGTATATGGAGGTAGTGGAGTTGGTGGAACAATAAAAAATTGTTAAAAGCAAAAGTAGTGGTGAGAATTGGAGGAGAGAGAATATGAAACTAATAAAAAATGATTTATGTTGGGTCCACTAGGTGAGAGAAATGAATTAAATATTGTAAAAGCTTTCCAAATAAGGAAATGAAGCATGTATTTAAAAACGGCCGAAAAAAGAAAGTGGAGCAAATATTTAAAAACGGAGGGAGTAAAGAGTTGTAAATATAACTGAAAATTTTAAGGTACATGCGGTGGTACTATGCTTGGTACAGACAAGAAACGCGGAAAGAACATGTAACTATTTTTTAAAAAACATACAATTATTTTGTAAAGAACATATAACTGTTTTGTAAAGAACACCTAATTTTATGTTTTTTTTTTTAATATCTAAAGAACATCTGCAATATTAAAAAAGAACATGATAATATTATGTAATGAACATTATTAATATATATACTCATCATAATTTAAAGACAAAGTTCAAAGAACGTTTTACAATAAGCAACGAACATTATATCACATATAAAAGTACATCAAACTGACAATCAAAGAACATGGACATATGTTCTTTTCACTCTTTTTTAAAGCAAATATGTTATTTTTCCTTTAGGTATATGTTCATTACAATTTAATAGTATGTACATTTCACTATAGCTGTACGTTCTTTACATTTGTATAATATTTTCTTTCCGTGAGAAACATCTTGTACAGGCGCCTGTAGGAACCACGAACTGAGATATTACACTTGACAAACTACATACGACAAACACAATAAAATTCAAAGCAATGGCATGAACCTCAACGTATGAAACCAAACACAGACATAGAAGTACATAACACAAGAATAAATCAATACATTTTCCCTCCCCCACAAGTCAATGGGTTGTACTGCTCCTTCAATACTATTATTCAGTGGCGGACGTAGAATATTTAAGATGGAGTTTAAATAAAAAAATGAATAAAATGCTTGTATAAAGACTTGATCCCAAGACTTTTCACCAAACTCAATGCATTACCACTATGACAAAGCTAACATGTTAAGCACCGGTGCTAAGATGTTAGCAAGGTCAGATCAACCATCGGCTTGTTGGAGAATGTGCGTTCGTTTTCAACAATATTAGTTTTCCTATATTTAGCCGTCCTTGAGCCATATGGCTTCGAGATATTCTGACTTGAAAATTGGAAGTACTAATCTTCTTAAGTTGTACAAGAAAGATGATCATACTTAATTTTACTACTATGTGTAATGGACCTTAACACAGTCTACAGCAGCGATCAGAATATTCTGGTCTTAATTTATTTTTAGCCATTTTCAAGCTTTTTCCTTTCTCTCTCCTTCCATTTATACAAGTCCAACAAATTACTTGTTTTCCTTTCTTCAATTCCTTTTCTTCTTTTCCTTTTCGTCAATTCCTTTTCGTGATGATTTATTTTTTTTCCTTTTCTTCAATTCCACAATATGGCATCCACCATTATAACTGCCTACTATGCCACCGTTACCCCACTGTGTTCACTAATTTGGTTTGGGTTTTGGGGGTTTAATTCGAAATTTGGGTTGAGCTTTAATTCGAAACTCTAGGTTAATTGTCAAACAAATCTGGGTTTTTGGGTTAGTTCAAAAATCTGGGTTGATTCGAAATTTTGGATTTAATTCTAACTTTTTGGGTTTTTTTTTCACCATTACCCCCTTCTCTATCCTCTTTATCACCTTCTTCCACATTTTTAAATTTTGGGTTTTATTCGACATTAACATAATTTCTTGGATAAATATGAGATCCATAGATAAATGTAATATTTTATCTCTATATATTTTAGATAATAGATAAATTTAAATTTTTTTTATTATATATTTTGTATAATTTTTATCATCTAGATTTATTTATGATGTCATCAAATGCATGGAATCATAACACGTCTACATAGATGATGTAAGCATCCTCTGTTTTAGTACTCCCTCCATGTTTTTTTAAGTGTTACAGTTTGCCTGATAAATAAGCAATTTAATTGACTTAATTAAAATAAGAAATAAGTGGACTAGTTGGAGTATAAAAAAATTGTAAAAGAAAAATAGTGGGGTTAATAGTTTATTGAAAAGTAATGAATGTGAGAAACAAAAAATCAAAGATATAATAAAAAAAGTAGTAGTAGGTTTGGGTGGGGACCATGAGAGTAGAGATATATAGTATTTTAATGTAGCTTTTTGCCAAATAGGAAGTGTAACACTTAGGGTCTGTTCTCATACGTTTATTTTCAGTTCAGTTCAGCTCTAATCAGTTCAGTTCAGTTCAGCTCAACTCTAATCAGTTCAGTTCAGTTCAACTCTAATCACTTCAGTTCAGTTCAGTTAATGATATTGCTAATGATATAAATCCAAATTTCATTCTTTTAAGCTCTTATTATAACGACGACAATAATAATAAATAATAGTAGTACTAATAATAAATAATAATAAATAATAATAGTACTAATAATAGTAGTAATAGTAATAATAATAAATAATAACAGTAGTAATAACAGTAGTAATAACAGTACTAGTAGTAGTAGTAGTAGTAGTAGTAGTAGTAGTAGTAGTAGTAGTAGTAGTAGTAGTAGTAGTAGTAGTAGTAGTAGTAGTAGTAGTAGTAGTAGTAGTAGTAGTAGTAGTAGTAGTAGTAGTAGTAGTAGTAGTAGTCGATCACTAATCCGTAGTTAAAAATAACTAATTAATAAGTTCAGTTCAGTTCAGCTCAGCTCAGTTCAGTTCAGTTCAGTTCAGCTCAACTCAGCTCAGCTGAGTTCAGTTCAGTTCAGTTCAGTTCAGCTCAGTTCAGTTCAGTTCAGCTGAGTTCAGCCTATGAGAACAGACCCTTATTAAAACACGGTCGAATTTGGTAAGTGTAACACTTAAAAAAAACACAGAAGTTGTATATAAAACTATATTAGTTCCCATGCAATGCATAGTTTTAACAAAACAATTTGTGAAAATTTTATACAAAAATGATTGTCAAATATTTAGGTTGCGTTCTATTCACATGATTTTCACTTATCTGAACTCATTAAAACTTATTTTAGTTGTAATTTGTACTTGGTTAACCCTTATCAGAACTTTTTAAACCTGATCTGAACTTATCTGAACTTATTAGAACTTATTACACTTGAAATAAGTGAAAATAAGGTGAACTGAACAAACTCTTAGTATTATTATGGAAAAAAAAATTTCATATGTAGTGTTTAGATACATATAGGATAATACAATATAGTAAAATAAAATATAATTGTTATGTTAGAAAAATATAAGGAAAAATTGCTCTCATTAATCTGAACTCCCAACTTTAGGGCCTGTTCACATTCACTGAACTAAGCTGAACTGAACTGAACTGAACTGAACTGAATTGAGCT